AGAAATATAGCTGAAGTATGTCATGGTACAGGATCAGGCATGGAAAAAGGTATTTTTCATTAGAAGCATGAAATGTGAAGAATATCAGAGGAAAGAAGATGGAAGAATTAAAGATAGCCCAAATACACTTAATAGACCTAACAGAGACAAATAAAGAAAGGTAAAAGAGAGGAACAAATTGGGGATTATGTCCTATTGTACTCAGGAATCAACTATCAGGAGCATGCGAGAGGCAGAATATGCTGCATAATCCACAAAGAATTAACTGCAAATTCTGAATTGGAAAGCCATAAATGAAAGGTTTGCGAGAGTGTAACTAAAATTAGAGCACAGCTAATAAATCTTAATTATTACACTTTTTTTTTTTTTTTGCGTCATCCCCTTCCTTGCCTTTAAGGCTACACGGGGTTTTCCCGGGCCAGAGGGTGTAGGCGGGGATTTAAAAGACCCTCGCCACCGGAACGCGAACTCGTGACTATTTGATATCAATTGTCTCATATATCAGGTTGCCGGGCAATGACCGTGATATACACACACGTTAACACTAATTGATTATTACATATGGTCCCAAAGACAACGGCAGTGCCAGAGATAAACAAACTTTCTTTGAAAACCTGCAGAAGATACTAGATGTTAGCGAAGGAACCCCTAACATTACGGGCGACCTCAATGGTAGAGACATTAACCGATGGCTTATACCCACAGTAGGGATGGGTTGATACTAAAATTTTTGTATCTAGATACAACTGATACGGGTACTTTTTTGTATCTGATACTTTTATCTGATACTTTTGTATCTGATACAAATGGGTCAGTAGTTGGTCATGACCTTCCTACTACTTTTTATCTGATACTAGTATCAGATATTTTTATCTGATACTGGCATCAGATACTTTTATCTGATATTTGTATCAGATATTTTTATCTGATATTTGTATCGGATATTTTTATCTGATATTTGTATCAGATATTTTTATCGGATACTTTTATCAGATATTTTTATCTGATACCTGGACTAGATACCCAGCGGTATGCATGCTGGCGCTTGGTATCTAGTCTAGTCTTGGACTTATTAGTTAATATATAATAGTTCTAATGACTTTATAGTTATGTCAGGTACTATGAAGATATTCACACAGTTTTTAAAACAAAATGTGATTCATATTAGACAAAAGAATGGAATATATTAAATAAAATATAACAAATTCATGCAGAGAAAAATTTTTCCTAATACAACGTTCTTAAGAATTTTGTAACAATTGAAAAAATTCTTAATAGCTACGTTTAACATACTCACACACACATATATATTTTTTATTTTCACTGATCAATCTACATCTTGGGATTTAGATTATATAGGACTTGTATAATGTTTACAATACTATTATTGTATTCTTTGAACATATTAAATTACATATGTAAATCATTTAAAGTAAATATTAATCCACTCTTTTATTATTATTTTTTTCATTAATACAATGGTATGACAACAAAAGTAATTTGTCGTTTATTTCAAATTTCAGTTAAAATTCCATAGTTTATTGTTTTTAGTAACTATCTTGCTGTATTGGGACCTTATTGCTCATATTATGTCTTTAATATATCAGTATAGTTATGTAAATCCTTCTGTTATTACTTATTTTTTAGTTTTTTTTTATTGTAATATGCATTTTGGCCAGATGTTATGTTAAATTTTATGTACAATATTGTTATTCTCAAGAGACTTTGTCCCAGAATAAAGGTGATTATTCTATTCTATATATATATTTATTTTTTCTGTTTGTATTACAGACCATGTAGATCTTTTGCCACCTTAACAAGTATGCTCAATCTCTGCCTGTCTTGGGCTATTTTTTGCCATTTATCTGCACGCAGCTCTATTGTATCTTTGTTGATTCTATCTATCCATCTGCTTTTTGGCCTTCGACTTGGTCTTTTGCCTACTATAATAAAAATAGCCCAAGACAGGTAGAGATTGAGCATACTTGTTAAGGTGGCAAAAGATCTACATTGTCTGTAATGCAAACAGAAAAAATAAATATATATATAGAATAGAATAGAATAGAAGAATCACCTTTATTCTGGGACAAAGTCCCTTGAGAATAACAATATTGTACATAAAAATTAACATAACATCTGGCCAAAATGCATATTACAATAAAAAAAAACTAAAAAATAAGTAGTAACAGAAGGATTTACATAACTATACTGATATATTAAAGACATAATATGAGCAATGAGGTCCCAATACAGCAAGAAGTTACTAAACAACAATGAACTATGGAATTTTAACTGAAATTTGAAATGAACGACAAATTACTTTTGTTGTCATAATATTGTATTAATGAAAAAAATAATAATAAAAGAGTGGATAAATATTTACATATTACATATTAAATGATTTACATATGTAATTTAATATGTTCAAAGAATACAATAATAGTATTGTAAACATTATACAAGTCCTATATAATCTAAATCCCAAGATGTAGATTGATCGGTGAAAATAAAAGAAATATATGTGTGTGTGAGTATGTTAAACTTAGCTATCGTATAGTGAATATCTTCATAGTACCTGACATAACTATAAAGTCATTAGAACTATTATATTTAAAAATGGTATAAAATATTTATTACAGGGACAAATTTAATAATAAAGGAATAAAATATATATAGGTACATATTTAATGTATGTTTTATTAGGTATCAAATAGGTATTAAAATATCAAACCCGATCAATAATCAATTACAGTTGGATTAAAATATCTGATACAATTATTGAGATATCAAGCCCAAGTGCCAGTATGCATACCGTTGGGTACCTAGTCCAGGTATCAGATAAAAATATCAGATAAAAGTATCCAATGCGAGTATCAGATAAAAATATCTGATACAAATATCAGATAATGGAAAGAAATAGCCCAAGAGAGGTAGAGATTGAGCATACTTGTTAAGGTGGCAAAAGATCTACATGGTCTGTAATACAAACAGAAAATATATATATATATATGTATGTATGTGTGTGTGTGTATGTTAAACTTAACTATAAAGAATTTTTTTAATTGTTACAAAATTCTTAAGAACGTTGTATTAGGAAAATATTTCCTCTGCATGAATTTGTTATATTTTTATTTAATATATTCCATTCTTTTGTCAAATATGAAGCAAATTTTGTTTAAAAATTGTGTAAATATTTTCTTAGTACCTGACATAACTATACAGTCATTAGAACTATTATATATTAACTAAAAAGTCCAAGACTAGACTAGATACCAAGCGCCAGCATGCATACCGCTGGGTATCTAGTCCAGGTATCAGATAAAAATATCAGATAAAAGTATCCGATGCGGGTATCAGATAAAAATATCTGATACAAATATCAGATAAAAATATCTGATACAAATATCAGATAAAAATATCCGATACAAATATCAGATAAAAATATCCGATACAAATATCAGATAAAAATATCTGATACAAATATCAGATAAAAGTATCTGATACTAGTATCAGATAAAAATATCCGATAGCAGTATCAGATAAAAATATCTGAAATTAACATTACATAAAAAAAAAAAAAAAAAAAGCGTGAATATATTTATCTAGTAATAAATATTTAATTAAATTAAACTAAATAAATAGATAGTTCTAAAAAAATTGTGCACAATAAAATTATAACTAAACATTTCTCTTATATCAATGTGGCATGTCTGGACAACCATTTTGTATCCATGTGAGCATCAGATACTTTTGTATCAGATACTTTTTGATTGTATCTACTGGTTGTATCAGATACTTTTTTAGTATCAGATAAAAGTATCTGATACATACAATCCGACCCATCCCTAACCCACAGGCTTCTCAACCATCTAGGAGGGAAAAATGATAAAATGTAACCATATTTTATGGAAAAAAATCATCTCTTAAAGTATTATTGTTTCCGTAATTACATTTTATAGGACTACAAGAATCACTTAAACACCATTTCATATACGTAGTTAGTATCTTTCTTCTTTTTTTTTCAAAGTAATTATCATTATATGTATGAAAAAAAAGCTTTCGGACTGATCCTAGATCTGCTGGTGAATAACATAGATAAATCTCATGAGAATAGTTCTATTAATAAATATATGACGAAATATTGAGCCTAAAAAGTTTTAGTAATGGCTTGAGACATATAAGAACAGAACTTAAAGTACAAATACTCTGTGAGCGTAAGATACACTTTTAAAATGCTGGAGATTATCTGATGATACAGCATTGTTACTGGATGATTAGTTGCTGCATGCTTCCAACAGATGCCTTTTACTGGTGTCCTGAACCAGCATCTTATAGCTTACCATTATTAATTTACACCCTATCCTTCATTGTTTGTGTTTAATTGAAGGGTGAGGAGCAACATGTTATCCTTTTGTTGACATTCCTCATTCCTTTGCCTGCACTTAACAACGATGCAATATAGAATGTGATGATTGTAAGTACTTGTGATGACTACTTTGTTAAGGCAATATCATATTGATTTAGCTAGTGGAATCCTTTCCTCAAGTTCAGCATTAAGAAAGACCTGCTTTCAAGACTCTGGTATTCTCCACAGCTAAACAATATGGAGTGGCTACACGACTATTTTCTTTTCATTTCATATGATAGCACGGGAGTGAAAAAGTTAAAAATAGAATAAAATATTTTTAAAAATAAAAATACTAGAAAGATAAGATAGCTATATTTTAATAAGTGCAGCAAAATGAATTTAATATCAATCCTATGGCAAACAGTAGACATAAAATAAAAGTAGAAAAACATAAGTGGAGAGGAAGTGAGTATGTGAGAGGAGGAATACTATTTATTAGAAAAATGTTTAGTATTTTTAAGTATGAAATGCTCACACTAAAAGTGTGAATAATTTATTTTACTAAGTAAGACAATCTTAATATTAATAACTTCCATTGCAAAACATAGAATACCACTGTTAGGTAAAACTATATTTGTTTAATGATCATATATTATTTTCTTTTTTGTGATAGACAGGAAGGAGTTAATTTAAAGATAACATTGGGATCTAAAGTGATGACCGATGCTGCTGTGCTGTCACTTCTAACACTAGTTTTGCTTCTGCTTGTTTCCATCCTGAAAAAAACAAAACAGATCAAGCCCATGATACAAAACATTAAAAAAAAATATTTTAAGAAATCAATAAAAAAATCTAAACGTGTAGATTTAAAAGATCCATGGATCTATGATTCCATGGACAGAAACTCTTTTTGGTAGATAATAGTTGGGAGTTCCCAAAAATTTAGTAAAATTGACAAATGATCTTAAATGTCGTTTTCTGATAAAAGGAGAAAGTGTCAAGAACATCAAATGAAAAAACAGGGCTGGAAGTGGGTATGAATCATAAAAGCCTCAGATATGCAGGTGAATTGCTGTTCTTAGAAGCAATCAAGAAACCCCTGAGGAATTCGCTAAGACTCTGATAAGAGAAACAGATTTAATTGGCCTATAAATAAATGAAGATAAAACAAAATAAATGATAGTAAATCCTAAATCCTACCCCAACAAGATCTGCATAAAAGGAAAATTTATGTACCGGAGGGAAGAGATATTCAAATATCTCGGCTCCACAATAACCCATAAAAGTTGAAAATAGGACAGCTTATAACAAGCCCAAACACAGCTTTATTTTCTCTTTCAAAGGTATTGAAATTGTGAAAAATCTCAAATGAAGGCTTTACTATGTTATGATAAAGACACTTTTGATACATGACTGGTCGATATAGACACTAACCATCCTAGAAAGAAGTATTGAAAGAATTGAGAAGAAAATTACATATAAAATAATATTAATTAAACCTATATTTCCTTGGTATTGTATTAAAAAAAAAAAATTGAATCAAGAAAAAAACCGGTTCTTTTATTAAACTTGATGAATTAATCGGATGCATTTCACTACGTACTATGGCTCCAGGCAAATAGATTTCGTCCCATGTAAACATCTGATTCTAGAGTTTTGTTTGGGGAAGATAGGCTGTACTACATCAAGTTTAAGTATTAGTAGATGTCAATTTTCCAATCAATCTACCAATATGTTTAAGTAACTATAGAAGTACATTCCCTTATGGTTGAGAGTATTTCTCAATTTCTGTAGTCAGATATTTTTTAATTCAAAATTTTTTTTATTTTAACATTTTTAGAATTTAAATATTAACAATTTATTTTCATAACAGATGATCACACGTTATCATTTCAAATCAATTAATAATCAAGATACTTAAACTATAATAAAAACAATTGTCTGTGTTTTGTGCTCAAATTGTTTCAAAACATTCACAGGATCTCACTTAGTAATTACAGCCGTCAAAGTTAAAAATCGGTCAAGACATCTGCTCAAAACATCATTATGTACCTTTTTAGTGGATTGATTAAACTTTACACAGTAATTGCCAGAATTTTTTAAGCTCAAATTCTTTCAAAATGCTCAGTGAATCACATCGAATAATTGAGAACATGAAACTTTAAAATAGATACACCCTTCCCTCGAAAAATCGTTACACTTCTTTTAGCAGACAAACACATAACTATTCCACTTCATTGATTGTTTTATGTCACTTTGCTTTTACAACACTTAGGAGATCTCACAGAATAATTTAAGATATCAAACTTAAAAATTCATCCAGCCCTTCGCACTAACACATAACCCTCGCATAGTTGGGTAATAAACTCATGTTATGTGCTCACCAGTGAGGTGGCTGTCCTTGTTAAAATTTTTAATTAAAAAAATAAATAAATCAGTTTTTGAAAATCAAATTTTAATATTAACACTGTTGACCGGCAATTTTAAACAGAAACTATGTCATGTCACCGGCTATTACTTTGTAATAGAATATGGAATAATACAAGTGCAATGACGAGTTAACTCATCGCCAGTCAACAACATTTGGGAATAAAAGACAAGTTAACTTTTTTCACCGGTCAATAATGTTTAATAAATAAATATAAATATTGATATATTTCTAACAATACTAGCACCTGAACCAAATCTATGTTTCTGTATTGCCAAAAATAAATTATTAACAATAATGGCCAGAATAATGCAAAGACAATAATAAAACCAACATTAGGAGACCAAATATTTACCCAATGGTAGAGATTGTAAAGTTTGACTTGTTTACTGTGGTTGTGCTTTGAGGTAATTTCAAGCCATTTTCTGTCACGTATCTGCATACAATTGGTTTTGTTTCTAAATAATTAACTGTAAGTTCAGATAATTGCTGGAGGACACATTCATTTCTCTCTTCCATCATTCTGATGTCTATTTCTTTCTAAAATGTCACAAATTAAAGAAATATTAATGGTGAAGCTTATTCATAAACAAAGCTGTGAAATTTTAAATATTTTGTTAATTATAATCACCTGAGCTAATTTTTTGTATGGTAGTGGTTCCTTACATTTCTGAACTTCATTCATTACTTTTGTTAAAATCTGAGTAGCTCTATTTAATTTGGTATATTTAGTACCCAATTCTTTTTCTAAGAATGATTCTTCCTTTTCTTTTTGTTTCCACTCTTCCTCTAATTCCTTAGCTATTTCTTTTATTCGAGATGTTTCAGACATCAATGTCTGTAAATTTAAAACAGTTAACACTGAAAGAAGGTTAAGACTCAACTACATGAAAGAGATAGGCTAATAAATCAAATTGTATACTTCAATTTCCTTTTTCACAGAAATTAGTAGGTCAGAGTCTTCTTTTATTAATTTCCTGGCTTCATAATATTTCTTCTCAAGTCTTTCTTTTTCTACCATTTCAGGATCTAAAAATAAACCAAATCTTCTTTATATAAATATTTCTGTGTATGTAATGATGATGTAAAAATGATAAATGTTTAGCTAAAATTTTGATTTACAGTATTGGTGATTAGTGTTACTATACTTTTTGGTAAGAAGGTGAGATCGACTGGAGTAAAGTACAGTAATCAAGTATGCCTTGAAAGAAGCATACAGTAGATGGGTGAAACAGAAATTTTCAAGCATTAAAAAAATAGATTTACCATATTTCCTACATTGAAATAAGTAAAATTTAAACTAAAGAACATATCACAGAAGTGAATATTTAAAATAAACATATATAAGATTGAAAAAAAAAGGAGAAAAATGTAAGAAAAGTTCTTTCATTTATGTGGTTTTAAAACGGAGAGAATTTTTTGGCCACGCCGCCTCCTTGATTTATGTAGCTCTAGCCTTAATTTATCTAGCTCTAGCTCTAGCCCTTTATATAACATAAAGTTTCATTGGAAGTAGTGAAGTACTTTCTGGATGTAACTAAAGTCCACTGGAGGGTGTCTCTAATTTCTATTGCCCAGGAGGGTAGAGCACGACATTTCAAATACCTCTTATTGGCCCGAGAAGGCTCTCCCAATAGAAGAAACTTTAGACAGAGAAAATTTTTATTTTTATTTATTCATGATATTTACAACTGTATTAAAAAATTAAATACATTAAGTAAATTTGATAACAGAAATAATAACATGAAATGACTTGTTGAGAAACTATCCACTGGTAGCACTCTAAAAACAAAATGTATTTACAATAAGAGATCTCGAGGCCATCTTCTTTTCAGATGCCTCAGAGGGTTATCAGGAATAGAAGAGGAAGCAAGGTTAGAGACGAGAGGATTCGGATGGTTCTGAAGTTTATTATGGAAGGATTGGTATCTGGATTGGGCCAAATCGGAAACATAAGGAACATTAATGTCATTATGGATTATTTTATTGGTGACAAAGTAAGGAGCATTGAGGATTTTCCGAAGGATTTTGGACTGTAAGGATTGGATACGAGAGGAATTCGATGGCTTAGTGGAGCCCCAAAGCTCAACTCCGTAAGTCCAAATAGGTCTTATTGTAGTCATGTATATAAGTCTTTTGTAATTAACTGGAAGCTTAGAGCGTTTGTCTAGTAAGTGTTGGAGTAGTCGGAAACGTCGAGCGGTTTCTTGTCATTTCAGTCTGGTATGAGGATTCCAAGTTAGATGTTTGTCCAAGTGAAGTCCAAGGTATCGGATTTGTTCAACAGGGATAAGTGGGGTATTATTAAAGGATACTGTGGGACATGAGGTCATAGGTTTACGTCGAAGGGTAAAGGTGATTTGATGGGATTTATTAGAATTTATTTTAATCCTCCAGTTTTGACACCATTCTTCAAGACTTGTGATGTGCGATTGAAGAGTTTGGGATGCAATGGTTGGGTCATTATTAAAGGATAGGACACATGTATCATCGGCATACGTGGTAATAACAGTGTTAGGATGTGTTGGGATGTCAGCTGTATAAACTGTGTAAAGGATAGGACCAAGGATACTACCTTGAGGAACACCAGCGGACTGGGAAAAGAGGGATGAATAAGCATTATTGTGATTGACTTTTGAGTATCTATCAGTTAGATAAGAACGGATAATGAGGAAGTATGTAGGATGTAGGAATTTACGGAGTTTGTAAAGTAGTCCTGGGTGCCAGACTCGATCAAAAGCCTGTTCTACATCGAGAAAGACTCCTGTGCAGTACATTCCGCGCTCTAATGCAGAGGAGACAACATCCACCACAAGATGGCATTGCTGGATAGTGGAATAGGATCTGCAAAATCCAAACTGGTGATCTGGGATTATGTAATTAGAATCTAGGATTGGGTACAGGCGTTTTAGGATGTGTTTTTCTAGGACTTTTCCCATGATGGGTAAAAGAGAGATAGGACGGTAAGAGGATGGGTATTCTGGTGGCTTTTTGGGTTTATGTATCATTTTGATAATGGATAGTTTCCAAGGGTCGGGAAAATATGTGGATCGGAGTACAGCATTATATATATATGTAAGGAATAGAATGGCTTTCCAAGGAAGTAGTTTTAGGATCTGGGATGTAATTAGGCCGTGTCCAGGAGCTTTGCGGGAAGGTAACCTGTGAATGATGTTGGATATTTCTGAAGGATGAAAGGCTTTAGGAGGAGGAGTCATTTGGAGTGGGATATCCAGTTCTGCTTCAATACATTCAAGGTGATTTGGGTTAAGAATATCGGGATGTGGATTAAAGGTTTTAAAGAGGTGGTGAAGAAATATTTGGGATTTTTCTTCGTCGGATTTGGATCAGGTTTGGGCTTCAGTGAGTAGTGGATGGTTGCAGTCTTTAAATTTCAGGAGCCTTTTAGTGGTCATCCATAGTGATTTATCGGTTGGTGTAAGTTTTTCAGTGGAATTTAGTAAATTTTGGATTTTGAATTTTCTAATTTCTGATTTCAGTTTGTTAGTCAGTTGGGTGTAATGCGCTTTATCTGTTGGGTATCTAATCCTATGCCACTTCGATCTTGCTCTGCGTTTTTCCTTTAATAAGATACAAATATGCTGTGGCAAGTTAGTATTTTGTGGGTTGTTAATCTTATTGATAAAGGTGTTATTATTTATACTGTCTGTTATTGATGATGTCAGTTTTTCTATGGCACCATTAATGTCTTCTTTTGTCTTTAGCGGAATTTTGAGGTCTAGTTTGTTTTCCAAATCATCACGAAATTTGTCCCAGTTTACTCGTCCAGTGATCAGTTTAGGAGGTGATGGTTTAGGAGCAAAGTCAGAATGTAGTGAAAGCAGAACTGGACTATGGTCTGAAGAAAGGTCATCCAGGGATTTGATTATAGTTTGGGTGGAGGAAATTTGAGAGGTGATAAATATATCAAGGATATCGGGACGTTTATTGAGGGATGTTGGCCAATAAGTAGGACTCATGGGCGAGAGGATTGAATAACTATTAGAAGATGAGAGATGGGAAAGGATGTTACCACGGGAGTTGGATGTTCGACAACCCCACCGTTGGTGTTTAGCATTGTAATCTCCTCCAGCAATAAAGCGCAATCCGAGGGAATGGAACAACGTATCAAGGAGATTAAAGGAGAGGGAAATGGAAAGGGCGAGTTGAAAGGATTACAGAAGTTGATTGAATGGCGTCAGTTGGAGTGGAAGGAATAAGGGAATGGGGTAAAGATTTATGTATAAGGATGCAAGAACCGGCGTGGGCAGTGTTGACTGGATGGTCAGATCTATAAGTGATGTAGTCTCTTATGTGAAAATGTGTCCGTTTTGTGAAATGCGTTTCAGTCAGTAGAGCTATATCAATGTGATTGTCATGCAGAAATATGTCAAGTTCGTCACGGTCGTTGTGTAGTCCGTTAGCATTCCATAAAAGGATAGTTGGAGACTTTGTGCTCATCGAGGGAAATTAAACGGAATTTCGGTCAGGATTCTGGTTAGTAGAGTGATAAGAGGTTTTATGGTGTTTTGGAGGTCCAATAGGGAGGATGATAGAATGGAAGTTAGATCAGATGGATGTTGATTGTGAAGTGGATTTAGGATAGGTTCAGGTGGCGGGTGAGGAGTGTTAACTGAGAGTGGGATTCGTTGTTGTGTACGAGGTGGGTCTGGATTCGACGATACTTGTGCTGGGATTTTTTTCTGGACATTAGGATGTGATGGGTGCGATTGCTGTGGCAGTAATTTGACTCGTAGAGGTAGATGATGAGGGGAAATTTGCTGACGCGGAGGATGAAATATGAGAGGATTGGGAGTATGAGGTTTAGCTTGGGAGACCTGAGGCGCCTGGCGTCGAGGCTGCTGCTTCTTGATGGTGGTATGAATGCTAGTTTTGGTAGAGTCCTGATGAGGATGGGTGATTTCAGTTGAAGTAGTTGGTTCTTATTGTGTTGAATGGGTAGTTTGTTTTGGCAACTCAGGGAAATTTGTAATATCAATTTCTGGTGGCTGGGTGTAAGTTTCTTTATTTAGTTGGCTGCACTTTAAGGCTATGTTATGAGTTCTTAACTTATAGTATTTTTTATATACTATGCATCCTTTATAGCTTGCAGGATGGTCTTCGCCACAGAGAGCACATTTAGGAGGCTGGTCTCGAGGGATCTGACAAGTGTTAGAGGCGTGTGGCCCGGGACATCCAATGCACCTCGCTTGATGATGGCAATAGGTCTTTGTGTGCCCCAAGTCTTGACACTTGGTGCATTGAAGTATGACAGGTTTTTGTCTAGGCTCTTCGAATTTTACTGTGGAATACACAACCCTCTTAACTTGAAATGTGTCAATGTTATTACTTGCAGGCTCCAAATCAACGAAAAACAGTGGCAATGGATATTTTTGCGTTGGATGTAGCACGCATGCTATATGCCTAACGTTATGTTCTATTTCCTCTAGATCAGATTTGATAACGGATATGGGAGTGGTTGAGTGCAAGCCTCTCAACACCACCCGATATGCCTTTTCTTGTCTCAGTTGGTAACAATGAAATTCATATTTTTTAGTTGTAAAATAATTTATCAGAGTTTTATAATTTTCTTTAGAGCTCGTGTTAATCTTAATGTCATTAACCCTAGAAAAACAGCGGAAACTGGTTTGTCCGATAAGATTGGCAATTTCTTGAACGAATGATATAAAATTTTCAATTTTAGAGACCAAAATAGGGGGCGGCTCGGGGTCAGTAAAACCTTGAGGTACCGGAGGCTTGTTAGGTGAGTTACTACCAAGATCAAAATTATTGCTGGTGTGGTATTTGGTGCAGTTGGAGCTATTTTTGTGGTGTTTGATTTGCTTCTAGTTCTGGGTGGTGATTTATTTTGCTCAGCAGGCTGTTTAGATTTATTTTGTTCAGTTGTCTGTTTAGATTTTGCTGATTTATTTTTCTTCTTGTAAGGCGAATTGCCACCTGACCCATGGGCAGAGTTTCTGTGACGTTTTTGAAGCGAGCGTCTTTTCAGATATTGCGAATCAGTTTCGCTAACCTCGGAAAATGGTGTCTCGTCCTCTGAATCTTCACATGAAGATTTCTCGTCCAAATTCATATCTTCCATTATGATAAGAAGAGAAGAGAAAGAAAAAAATATATATATACCTAAATATTAAAACTACAAGTAAGAATTTACAATCTATTAAAAAGAAAAAAAAAATACAAACTCAGAAATAGAAATAAAACAAAACATTTATGAGAATAAATAAACAAGGGAAAAAAAAATAAATAAACTGTCTCATGGAGAAGAAAAAAAAAATAAAAAAAAAAAAATAAAAAAATAAAAGGAGTTCTAAAAATCTTTGGTTTCGAACTGAGATCAGCTGACGAAAACGAGCTAGTGTACAAACCTTGGCCGGGAACTTAACGTAAATAAGATAAGAACGGCAAGGGAATTAACAGCCACATGGGCTATTCAAACGAGCACTAATTTATCACTTCATTGTTAATAAATTGTAACTCACCTTTTTATCCGTGAACTTAAAAATGTTCAACTGTTTATAATGTCACTGTTAATCAATTATTAACACAGAGTTTTGACTAATAAGCACATAGCAAAGTAATAATCACAGAGCGAACTGAAAACTAAACTGCAGGAGCGGCCATGAAACTTACTCTTTAGAGAAAATTAAATCATTATTTATGGAAAGACTTTTGGACCATTATACACTACCATCGCCATCCATTGTTTCAAGACTTATTTTGTAATTTTCATTTGCTGAAGTGAGTAGTTTTAGTGTATTCTCCATTGCTTGTATTTCTTTTTCTATCTTGTTAATTTTGGCTTCTAAATTGTCTCCTTCTATTTGCAGTTCATATTTCTCTTGTGCTAACTAACAACCAAAGTTTTTAATATTTCATAAAGATAAAAATAAAAGAATTCAAAGATCTTAATTATTTTTTTAGGAAAGAATACCTGAATTTTAAAATGGGCTACAGAAAGTGACTCTCCACTTTCATCTTTTCCTAAAAGGTCCATTGATAAGAAATATCTGTAAAATAATTTTTTTCTTGAGTAATTAATTCATTTCGTGATTATTGTTTTATATACATTCCTATGACACATCTTTCAAGTAGTTTCGATTAAAAAACTGTAATATACAGGGTTCTAAGAGAAGAATTGAATATCATAATATGAACTCAGAAATTAATCTCAATGTATTTTTAATATTATTCTATCTTATTATGTCGTAAATATGAAAACTGTTCTATTGTTAAAAACTAAATTTTATATATCGTTGTTTTCAATGAGTTACAATTTAAATTATTATTTTAAAATATAATCACTACCAGAGGCCTTGTATTAAATAAATTCAAATATATCTGACAATTGTTGATATACAAATATAACCTTGCCACTGATAAAAATCTCCATAAAAAATTCACTAACAGTACAATCACTAATTAACTGACTTAAAACTAACTTTATCATTACTTCTCTTATTGGCTGTAGATGAAAAAAAAAGGAACTAAATGCTGATTATCAATGTGGTGATCTTACATAGTCTGCCAAAAGCTTGAGGCATTTCCTCAAATCTCATTCATTGGTCATAACAGTAATTATTATAGAATTTTCAAACAGCTTACACTATTTCATAATATTTAACATTTAAAACTATAACTATATTAAATATAAGCGCTGGAACATGCAACAGCACGATTAGAAGTGATCATAAATGAAGAAAATACGAAATATAAGTGCACTCTACCTAAATGGGAAAATGATGAGAGTGCATCCTGTTAGGAAAGCATAGATTCAAAAGAGTTCAATCATTCATCTATCTAGGTATCCAAATGAACTGTCAAAATAATATAGAGGAAGAATAGTAAGATTAATACTTAGTATTCACGAACTGCATTTATTTCCTACTCCAAAAGCTGTTAATAAATAATGCATTTTATAGCGATGCAAAAACAATAATTTGTAAGATTAATGAGTATGTAAGGATCTGACCGGTCCTTACATACTCAGAATATTGGACAGTGACTAAATCTCAGGAATAGGTCCTTAAATTTGAGAGGAAGGTATTAAGAAGAATATACGGTTTATGAACAAGGCACATGGAGAAGGAGGAATAATGCTGTATATGAAGATGTTGATGTATGCCTAAATAACCTTAATAAAGATATAAAGCCTTCGTTGGGTGGGCCATGTAGCTAAAATGGAAGCAAATGAGATTCCTGATAAAGGCTTTTCTGGGTGTGTATTTGGATTGGGCATCCTAAGCTTTGCTGGGACGATGGGGTGGCTACTGACACAAGGTCTCGCTGCTTGGTTTACGGAACTGGAAAGTAGCGACAGCAGGCAGAGAATAGCGATCTATAATAGGGCAGGCTTTGATTCAATAAGTGGGCCGTAACGCCATCTCATAATAATATAATAATAATTATATTAAATTTAATAAATTATTATTAAAAGTAAATATTATCCTTCCAAAATCACACAATATATTGTAATGTCAATATTACATGGCATTTTAATAGTGGCGCGAAAGTGGTAACAACACGAACTACGGGAAGCAAGTGGTGGAGGAAGCAAGCCTCATGTAACTCGGAATGTTTATGTTATGTGTTAAAATAAATAATATATTGAAAAAGGAAACTCGTTGTTTTGATTTTGTTGACAAAGGGAACGTTACAATATATACATATATATATATATACACCACTCATTTTTGTATACCCATAATTGTGTTTTAGGGTTTTAAAACATATTTAAAATAAACCTTTACTCCTCTCCCAAGACCTTCAGCAGGCTATTTTTTCTGGAGAAAATATGACTAAAAATAAAATAAGTCAATATTTTTTCCTCTAAGACAGATAGTAGTAAAATGTATTAGGCTTGCAATTGTAAGGGCCTAAGACTCACTTTGATTGGATCTGTTTGATCCGCATATGCAAATACTCAATACTTCTTTTAAACATTGATCTTTCTTCCATTAAAGTTCTTTTTTTACCAATTAGCATCTCACGTTGAGCATCTATTTCCAATTTTCTTTCCTTCATTGCCTGTGTAAAAGAAAGTGTAAGAATATATGTAAACAACAAAGTTTATCAAGAAGGGTAAATATATTTCCACTTCTATTAGTTATGTCATTGCCTATATTTTCAAGTCTATGATTTAACATGTGGGAATGAAATTTACAGAACAAGCCATTTTTGAAATTTAGTCCTGTCAAGGAAAAATATACATCTTAAAATTAGACAGAATTTTACTATATATGTTGGCTATTTAGGTATCAGCATTCACGATCCCTGAAAAATTTAGCAAATTAAGCTAATGGCAGCATATGTTATGGTTGTCGCATGAATCTTATTACAGAATAAAGTTTAAATAAAATTTTTGACAACATTTTAAATACTTATAACAGCATAACCGGAGCCATCTGGAATCAGAGTACTAACACATGGAGAAGAAAGATCAATAAAGAATTGCTTACAGAAACTGGTCAATCATATGAAGGCACGGAGGTTGAGATGGGCGGTACATGTAGCTCGTATCAATCCATCTGGAAGCCTCTACGTAACAATGAATGCCCAAATAGAAGGCAAAAGACCACGTGGAAGGCCAAAAATAGATAGAATCAGGGAAATAGAAGGTAGATAAATGGGAAGAAATAGCCCAAGATAGACAGAGATGGATCAGGCTTGTTTGGACGGCAAAAGATCTACATGGTCTGTAACACCGACAGGAAAAAAAAATAACAGCATATAACTATAATTTTTTGATTTATTTACTGTTTATCAAGCTTTTTTGTGATACTAGAAAATTTGTATACCACCCCCAAATTTCTTCTAACTTTGGGTCTAATCTACTGAACTGTTTATGAAATATAGGAATATCAAAGAAAACGTGTTAATAAAAATCAAAAACATTTTTTTGGAAGCAGTGGATGAAATTTATTAATATCCCCACTTAATGTTGCCCTTGCAAAAGTAGTGAATGAAATTAGATGAAATTTATATGAGACCGTCTAGATACCAACTTGCACAATCTGAAAATTCTATGAAAATTAGATTAACAGTATTAAGTGCAACACCCATCACATGGATTTTTTTATTACTGATACCTTCTTCATTGATGTCTAAAACATAAAACACAAACAGAAATTTTCAATTCAGAGCACAAAAATATTTTTAATCTTCTGCATGAATTCTAAACTTTCTTACCTTCATTTTGGAAGGAGAAATAGAGAGTTATATTAACTATCATAAAAATATCATATACATGTATGGTTTGAAATGAGATTAATAAACATAACTAAAATAGTATTAAAAAAATATACACCAAAAAAATTTTTTTTAAAAAATTGAAAATGATGAAAATTGTAGAAAAGAATAGATGATTGAGACTGATTATAAAAGAAATTATGATATCAAATTTAATAATTACCGCTTCAAGAATTATTCTCTGACGTTCTAGTTTGCTCACTGTATCATCTTGGCGTGCAATGCTCTGTTCAGAATAGCTTTCCTTCATCATTAATAAATTTAACTGTAGCCTAAATTTGTTTATTTCTTCTTTTGTTTTTTCAATTTCTTTCTTTCCAAATTCATTTTCACGTTTCATTAACCTGAAGTTTTCTTCAAGAGTTTTTATTTCCTCTTCACCATTTCTTAACTTGTTAATAAAGTCTTTATATTCTTTCTAAAAAAATAACATAAATAAAAAAATAATGAGCTAAAAAATTATTCTATGCTGTTTATAAAAAGTATATGGCAATAGTAGTAAAAAAAACCTCACTATGGAACATCTTTCTAGACCAGTGACAAAAATTGTGTTTTCTAATATTGCACATTTAAAAAAAATAAGAAGCCTCTTTCTTTATCTAAACATAAGAATTCAACAGAACGATTACTAAATAATAAGGTTAAGGTGATGTAAGAGGAAGGAAGAGAACTGAATTTTCATACAACAGATCTTTCATGAAAGATCATGATTAAGACTGACGCAAATTCTTCTAAAACTATGATGAGTGGAAAAATAAATAGATGCTGTAATTGTTTATTTCAAAGTATGTATTCATCCTGAGCATAGGTGTTGTTTATTGGTATTATATAGTGGTTTAGTTGAGTATCACCATTGAAGTAATAAGAGTAACGAGTGCATGCATTGACGTTCCGAAATGTACAATAATGACATAGGGTAAAACCCCCAGTTGTCGGCACCCACTGCAGTTATTGAAGTATTCTTCAATATTAAGCGTTAGGAATGGTCTAGATTCCCTCTAGTCTAGATAGCCTGGTCTAGATATGCTTGGCGAAAGGCAGAAAGGTATCCCTTCTGCACTCTCAGATTCTAGCATCTCCCACTATTTATTTAGTTTTATAGGTTGATAAAATCGCTGAAGATTAAAAACCAAGTAAGGATGTGTCTTACATTTTTGTCAGAAACAAACATTATAATTGCAGCACAATATAATTGTAGTTATTTTCATTCTGGAGGCAGCCAGATTTAATTATTTAGGTTTTAGAAAATTGGGTAAGGTGTGCCGGAAACTGGAAAAATTGTGCTGAAAACTGGTGCATACGGATATTTTTGCGGTTTTCTATATTTCCTTCTATATCATTCCTAAACTAATAAATGAAAGACACTGTTTCACATACATATTTTGAAATTAGAGGTCTTTACTGATTTAACAGAAACGAAATTGTTGAACCAAAAAAACACGTAATTTAAAATGGATCAAACACATTTTAAGGTGTCCTTAAGGGTGCTGAAAATAGAGAGTTTTACCCTACGAAACAACTAATGACTTTTGAGATGGAGCAGGCTGGTAAGATTTCTGATTTCTCACTCATGCTCTAGACTGTCCTTCTGGAAGAACGGCGGGTGGTCATTTGGATGCTCAGTGTTCCCTATCCCTAGAGGCTAGTAGATGGTGGGGATGGGACTTTTCTACTAACATTAGAGACAGTTGCTTTCAATATCCTTCTAGATTTAAAAGGATATATTTTGTTGTTTTGTGAAATATTCACTCGGCTGCAAGGTATTATTAACAAATGAAGTTGGAACAGAAAGTTTTAAGAACATGGATGGCTGCCTGTTGGAATGGATCAAAGATTTTCAGGTATGTAAATAATTTAGCTGATTGAGAAATAAAAAAATAAAATAAAAAAAGGGGAGAGGCAGAAAATAAGTATATGCTGACACGAGAAGCAGTTTATCAGCACAATATGAATACTAAAAAATGATTAACTCATAGAATTAAATCAGCAAAAATGCAAATATAGTTACTTCTCAGTAGCATTATAGAGGTCAAAAACTACATAGAAACCATAAATTACTAGAAAGCTGGTTAGAACTGGAAAATACTTACAAAATCTGATACAAAAAAAAAAAAAAAAAATAGATAGATAACAATAAAAGAATAATAATAATAGATATACATAAAAACCATAATTAAAATAATTTTAAATGTAGAAAATGAAATCAATCAACAACATAAGTTATTATAACAAGATAAATACTTGAGTAAGACATAAAATATTTTTTTTTAAATGTTAAACAGAAAAATACTTAAGATAATAAAAAATTATTAGCCAAAATATCTCTTTATTACCTGAATGGTTTTTATATGTAAATGAGTCCTGTTTTGTTCTTTTATCAGATCATTTTCTTTCAGCTGCAGTTCAGATATTTCTTTTTCTAATTCTTCTTTTTCATCTCTACTACTGCATTTATTCTGTAGTTCAATGATTTGCGATGCTAGTACAGATTCTTCAGTGAGCTGGAAGAACAATATTTTTGGTTCTATAACTTGTTAAAAGTGTTGGTCGAAATACATATTGATAAAAATGACTAGTTCTTAGATTAGGATTAGTAAATATGTAACTATTTACCCAATTAAAAATTAAAATATTTATTTATTTTAGAGAATCCTAATAAATATATATACACACACATTTATATATACTAGTATGCCCATGCGAAAAATTTGCTCAGTATATTGTTATCAAATGCTTAATTAATAATAAAATAAAATAATGCAAAGTATCAAAAGATAAAGGAATCAATTCTTACTTTATCGACAAAGGAAACAAAATTAATTTAAATCATCATTTTCGTTTGGCACCAATATATTTACAAATTTCAATAAGCTGTATCTTTGCGGAAAATTGTCCGATTTCAATGATTTTTTTTCCTTTTGTAGACAATTTAGTAATGTTTAATATAATCATGGAAATAACCAAGGGAAAAGTGTAATTTTTTAGTTATTCGCAAATAAAGTTTCTTTTCTTTCATAACTTGTTTGCCTGAATTTTCGGGGTGATTGGACTATTTTGCCCGCCTGAAGGAGAAGGAAGCCTTCGACATTGGTGGCTCAATCTTGAGATTTGGTGAAGAATTAATGATGATATGGCTTGCGGATCAAAAACACCATCGATAAATAATATAAACTCCTCCTGTCTCGATCATAGAGACCTCAAGTCGACGAAATGAGACATGTATCCAATGACAGTACTACAATTAACGTCAGGTTGTGTGGATGCAAACCCCATGCCTTGAGTTATCTCGAAAATAGTACGTTTTTGGGCTTAAAAACGCAGGATCCGATAGTTCCGGAGGAACTATCCGGGACTTGCTGTACGCATCAAAATCTTCAAGGTCCAATTTGTTCCGCATCGATCTACAGACCTATCACCTACAGACCGCTGAAGCCTAGCAAAATGTTTGTATCGACTTTATTTATTTTAGAAAGAAAAACAAAAGTGGAGAATACGATTCTCTAATCCCCCGTGAAATTCTGAATCCAACGGTACCCCATTCGTGGTATTTGAGCATGACAGGAGCTTATATTTGGTACAAAACCGATTTCGAGCCTTACTCTAATAATATATGTACGGATATATATATAATTTTAATATAAAGTATTATTTGATTCACCTTCCTTCCTTAAAGGTATACTACATGAAATTACAAGATTTTTACTTGGAATTAATACATATTTTAACAAAATTTGAGTGCAAAATTAGGAAATAGTAAGGAATGAAAAATTAGAAAAAAAATATCACAAACAGTAAAAACAATTAAATAAATTAAACACAAAAATTTACTTAAAAATGCCAACAACAAATTACCTACGCTGTCCATCCCTAGTCAATAATTCTAAGTAATAAATACCAGAATGTCTGTCTTGAATTCAGGAAACAAATTTTGATTTGTCTCATACCATTTTACATTGTTTTAATAATTATACTTTTTATTAATTTGAAACATTGTTGGTAAAATAGTTTACATTCCTATATTATACGTTTAAAATTTTGGATTTGTCCATCTTCATTGCATAAATTTGTTTGTAATGTTGAACATTTTAAAATTTAATGCTTATTATTATATTATGAAATATGTTATTACTATTTAACTATATATAGTAATAACGAATCTATTTTCATTTTTGGTAATTGAAAAAAAACATGCTTTATCAACAAAAACATTTAACAAACAGACACATTTGACTCCAAGAAATAATATTGAATTATTATTAAATCACTAAAATTTTCAGTTAAAAAATTTAAAGTATTTACAGCTTTTACCATGTATCATCTAGGCCAGTGTCAACCAAAAGGCAGTATAGAAGGGGAAATTTTCAAGAACCTATCCAAATATACAGGTAGCATATTGAAGACTCTTCAATATTAGTATCAAAGGAGGGGATACATGTTATGTCAAAACATGTTGGATACCACCACTCAATGTGTCATACTAATGACCCTTGCTCAATGTCAGGCATAAATAAAATCTTAATAAAAATTGCAATTATAAGAGAAAAATATATAATTACCAAATTAGCAACATCATTTTCTAGATCCATACATTTTTTCTCTTGATTATTTAACTTAATAAGTAAGTCTTCTTCAGCTTTAATTAAGAATGATAATTCTTTTTTCTTTACCATATATTTTTCATTTAATTTTCCATACTCTTGTTTTAGTTGTAGTATAAGCATATTTAACCTTTCCAATTCTCTAGTATCTTCAGCAGATGCTTTACAGCTCATCTTAAAAAAAAAAAAAAAAAATCAAAAAGCATTCCAAAAATTTACAAGAAGTATAAAATTAAACTAACAAGATTAAAAAAAAAATTATAAACCTTATACACAGGTCAAAAATTTAGGGACCAACATTTTATTTTTAGTAAATTTGATATTTTTTAGAACAAATAAATAATGATAAAAGGCTCAGAGAACCTAAAGGTTCGACCACCAATTACCACCCATGTACACACCTCCTTCCACCAGTCACTGTCCATACTCAGCACTGCCAGAGCAGCCTTAACGCAATTTCTCCACCTTCGCTTTCTTCTATCCCTCAGATGTTTACCAGTCAGCAGAGTAAATATTAACTTTTTGGGGATTCTTTTATTATTAAGCCGAACTATTTTACTCACCCATTTCATTCACCACAATGTAATTAACTCAGCTATATTAACTGGATAGTGTTCTTTATTTTAATAAAGTATGATTATACTCAACAATACTTTATTTAAAAAAAAATGTAAGCGGCCGTGTTTCGCATCTATAAAGAACTGTAGGTAGGATAATGCTTTTATAAATTCTGGAAAAGAAGGTGTGAGATAAGTAGTTTTATCATAGAAAAATAGCCTGCATTTCCCGTCTTCAACCTAACTTCAATTTCCTCTTCAATTTCGCTTTTTCTAGTTATCGTAGACCCTATATACCTTAAATTCTCCACATATACGTGATATCACCAAAATTTTCACCATTTTTGCAGCTAATCATATATATTGTCTTGCGTATTTATTTCAATAATAGTGATATATTTATTTTTTGTTATTTATATTTCATTATTTTTTTTCCAACAGATTAATATGAGTTACTATAAGGAGGTATTCTGTATTTATGGGTATTATCCATATATGCAATTAATATTTTGGTTATTAAATCATAATAATTAAAATAAATAACTAGTGATCGATAACTTTGACTAGTAATGTATGCAACTTTATAAAATCTATAATTAAAAATAAATAAACTTATGTCATAAAGTTTCTGTTAAAATCTACAAAATTGTTTTGTTAAATAAAAAAAATTACAAGACAAAAAATGGACTTTTCATTTTCTGTGGTTTACTTAAAACAGAGTCAAAATGACTTCTCTGACCATTTTAATAAATATATGTTTGATTTTCTGTCCTAATTTTTATTTTATTTTAAAAATAAATAAATTATTATAACCTCATACATATTTTGAGCATTTTTATACTTTTGTTCAGCACTCATGGAATCAACTTTAAGCACATCACATTGTTCTTGTAGGTGAATATTTTGTTCAAGAATTTTGTTGTACTTTTGCAGTCGACCTGAAAATATGAATGATTAGTGTCATTAGTAAAGAAATAAATTAATTTAAAAAATATTAAATTTATCCTTAAACCTATAGAGCGTAGTGCTAATTGTCAAAGAATAAAATTAAAACCTGCTGTGAGCAATGGCATCATCAGTTTAAACTGGTGGGTCAACTTTAGTTGCTTATTATATTTCCTCCTTAATTCAAACAATAGATTAATTTTTGCAATCTCTGATTGCATATTTTCTTTATTAATTTGTATCAATTCTCACTTCCTAACATGTATAGAAGCTGAGTGATCAGTGCTTTAAAAATATGAGTTAAAAAGCGTGTGAAAAACTTTCAAAAATAATTATTACGTTTAGGTAATGAAGAAATATTAAAATGACATTTCATGTGATTCGAGTGGAGGTAATTGCTATGGGATATTTTGAAAAATACTGAATAAGAGGTATTTTTTATAATGACATAAAATAATATTAGTCAACATATATTTGTAGATATTTTGTGAACAATATTCTTAAAATTAATAATTAGATTCAGTAAGCAATATAAAGTTATATTAATATCAATAATATCTAATTTAGAAAGTTATGCACTATGAGAATTTCAAACTAAAATTTAAGTCTGAAGTGGTCCTCTCTAAACAAAGTCTTGGCCTGAAGAGGAGTGAGAGAAGCTCATATCTTGAGGGGCTTAAATCTTATCTTTTAAATCTTTATCAGATCTGTTGTTACGACTCACCGCAAGGCGGCGCTCGGTTACAAAACAACTACACCAGACAATATTCAATATTTCCGACAGATGAGCTATTAAATTAATAGGATAGATAATGTGTGGCTGGTTGTGCCAGTTGGAGTATTAAAACCAATACTTACTCTTATTCTTTTCTGTCAATTCTGCATTTTTCAGTCTTTGGCCTTCAAGTTTTGTGCCCATACCTCCAGAAGCTTTTCTTCTCAAATCAACCTTTTTAAAAGAAAGCATAGTTTCTGAATGAATGATATACATATAAATTACAGTTATATATTTAAATTATTAATAATTTATGGAGAAGTTTGATCACTTTTGCTTTCCACCACCTACAGTAAATATATGAACAAATAAATGTTTTTATTCAGATATTTGCAAAAAATAAAATAAAATAAATAAATAGAAGTGATAATAAAACAAGAAAGCATCAGAGAAAAATTCATTATAGGGGCAGAAAAATATTTACACTTGACACTTTGATTACTCGTAGCTTCTGTTATTGAACAGCACACCAACTATGCATTATTTATTATGTTTATGTACTTGTTTACTACCTATATTTTTAAAATTATAATGCTATTCATAGTACATTAGTGTGAATACGATGAAGGTTGGCTTATATGAACAGAAAATTTATTTTTTATTGCAACTGCATCCCTGCCTGCATTAACTTGTTAGCTTTCCATAATATAAGCCAACTATGATATAATTTGCACAATTAGAATTATTTAAAAAACAAAACATTCTAATTGTTTTTTTATTACTATGAGCTATAATATGTTGTTGCTGGCATGCATCAAGTGGATCCCAACAGAGAACTAAAGGAAAAGACATTGACTACATCTTAGGCAGACGGACAAAATGACACAATATGTAAGCAATAACTGATGGTTTGTATTTAGTGATAGAAGCAGATGGAAACAAGTTATGGATAATGTTTAGTTGTGTCATTTTGTTTTCTCTTATTTTATTTTTCTGTATGTTTTTCAAGATTTTATTTTGCTTGCTATATGGTTGTTGTTTTTATTTTATGTCTTAAAATGTTATTTTATGAAAGAAAATCTTATCTGTTTTGTTTTATTTTACAAGAAGTGATTTGAACTTATTTTTCTGTGTTGTAGCCAACTCCATTAAAATTCCTCCCTAAGTTAGAGGATTTTGTCAAACCAATTATGCTGATAAAGCTTACTATCATTATTTTAGTTTATTAACAATATAATATGATTAAATAAAATTGACTGTTTATGCAGGAATTATAAAAACCATATAGCCATAGCAGTCAATGAATTAAAAGAGAGATTCACCAAAACTATTATATTTACCTCATTTTTATAAAACTGGGTCACATTTTCCAGTTCATATACCGTTTCTTTTAACTTGCCGAACTGTGTCTGATCCTTATAAATTTCTTTTCTGATCATATCATTCATATTCTTGATTTCTTCATAAAAAGATTTTTGGTCATATAATTCAATACATTTATTACGAGCTTTATTTTTAACATCACAAAGAATCTATAATACAACAAGAGGCATTAATACAATAACATTATTCAAATATTTCAATGCAAAAAGTCAACTTACTTCTTCATTTCTTTGAATATCTTCTTCTCTATTATGTATAACATTGGCAGAATCAAACCAAACTTTTGTTAATCTCTTCTTTTCATTATAGGCCTAAGGGAAAGTTGCCGTATTAGTATTATTTTTATAAATTAAATGAATTATATATTTCTCTATGTTAGATAGTAAATAAATATTTGTGTTTTGATGACAACAAACTATTTCTCTTAAAGATAACAAGCACCTCTTTATATAATTTAGAGATGTTTTCAAGCTGAGATTCTAGAATCAGCTGTCTGTCAGCTTCTCGTTTTTCCAAGGCTTTAGCTTCATTTAAATCTGCTTCCACCTGTTTTCTTTCCAAGTCAAGTTTCTAAAATAGATGATTAATTTTTAATCAGTATTTAACTCCTAGAAATGATTTTTAAATATATTTATGTTAATTTAATTAATCCCTTTTATTTACTTAAAAACTCATTTTGATTCACTTTTTAGTAATATAATTTAAATTTTGTTATCATCACTAGATTTAAGAATACTTAAATTATAAAATTATGGATAAATTAAATAAGATTTTAAACAATTTTTTTTTCTTATAAAGCTAATAATATAATTATTCAGTAGTTAATATAAATATTTTTTATTACTTCTAACAATGAGAAAAAGGTATTATTTATTTAAAAGTGTTATTTCATTTAATAATCGACATAAATATAGACACACGCACACTCCTATACCCATACACCTTTTAGAGAAAATTGGTTATTTGAACTCATAGAACCCCAAAAAGTGCATTTATGTTTAAAACTATAATTACAAATTTTTCATAATCACAATATTTTTCCATATTATATATTTCACATATAAATGAAAATTTAAAAATACAGAGTCTAGTGCTAACAAAAGCCTTAACAATATTTTTTAAAAAAAGAAGATAATAATCGTAAAAAGTTTTGTAATTACCTGGAATTTTTCATCATCTTGAGCTTTAAAATTTTTTAAAAATTCCATCTCTTTTTCTCCTTTTGCTAACTCTTCTTCCCAAGCAAATAATGCATCTTCTCCCCATTGAAGTGATTCTTTTAATGAATTCATTTTATTTGTAGAATGAGAAATGTCACTCTAAAAAAGATTAACATATTTGATGATTAAATAAAAAATGTAAACAAAAACAAAATGATTTTTTTAAAAAATACAAAACAATACCTTCAGTTTGTTAATGTTATTATTCATATCGAAAATTTCTTTTTTCATATCTTTGATCTCATTAGACTGTTTATTGCTTTCAATTTCCAATTTCTTCATTCCATGTACATCATCATCCAATTGTTTCTGAAGACTGTTCAATAATTTCTACAAACGATTAAGATGATTTCAGTTCTAGAATTTTATAACAGATTAGTTCATTTTATATTAAGGGTAAAGATAATTTATATAAGCTTTAAATGTTTCATTCTTTTACAGACGTTTTAAATGATACATAAATTGCATATTTTATAGTTATGATATGTACATTGTTTTAATAAAAAAAAGAAAGGAATTGAAATACTAACAAAACAAAAATGCAATTAAAAGGAAAGGAGAGGATTTCAACAAGCAATGGATATATTACTCTTCTATTGTCAGTAGACCTGCAAAAATCAACTTATTAAATCATAAGAAGTATGCCCAAAGTGTCATCTCTATTACATATGTCTATTCCTTGCCACAATGTTAAACTATTATAAATAATATTTTGAGTTATGTAACTCCTTAAAGATTAGTATATCTTCATATACCAAGTTAAAAACCATGTGCATTATTAATGTAATTGATATAATATCGAAACAATTACATATTATAAACATTAACAATTCGATTATGATTTTTCAACTGATTTCAAGTGAACAAATAAATTAATTCTTACATGTACAAATTTTATTCTTAAACCAACTGTTTTTTTAAAACTCAATTATAAAGACCTTATAATATAAAATGATCAATAATAAACTGAATTACCTGATTATGATTTTTTTCAGCTTCCATTGTCTTTAAATGTTTTTTTAAAACGTCTTTTTGCTCATTAATCACTTCTGTTTCCACTATAACTGCAGCCTTTTTCTTTAAAAGTTCTTCAACCTGTTAATAATATTTAGTTAGTATAAATTTAATATAATAAAAATCATTAATGTTTCTTAATTAAATCAATCAAACAAATTATGGTAAAGTTCAGTTGACTAGACTTGAAAAGTGGTATTCCCCAGAATTAAAAGGTTAACTTTACAATCAGGTCTGATCTATTATATTCAGCCTATTCAACATAATATTGTTGTTATTTAAACAAATTAATGAATACTTGAAAGTTGAATGTTGTATATTATTGAGCACTAGTGGATCCGGAATTCATTTTGAAGGAGGCTTCAGTCTGAAAGCTTCTTTTTTTTTTTAAATATAAGAATAATTACTTTGGAAGAAAAAGAAAGAAACTAACTACCTATAAGAAATGGTGGTTAATTGATTCTTGAAGTCCTGTTAAATGTAATTACACGAACAATAATACTTTTAGGAATGTTTTTTTTAGTATTTTTTCCTTAAGGCATCGTAATATTTTACCATTTTGGGAGGAGGGCTTTAGCCTGAAAAGCTCAACTCATCCCCCACTCCCCCACTAGTAGATCCGCCTGTGATATTTAGTAGGAGATGGCTGTGGTGGGGTCATAAAAATTTGGCCTGAAATAAAAATTTGATTTTTTTACTATTTTAGTCTTTTTATGACCACCACCCTGAACCATCTTCTTACTCATTAAACAAATTTAGTAGTCAAAGCTTGAAGTTAGGGTTGTAATGAGTTTACTTATATAATTATTTTGTTCCTTTTATTAAAATTCAAAGATAAATCTAATAATTATTAATGGCTATTTTTCAATTGTAGACATCAATAACGCGCTAAGTTCTATACAAAAGCAATCTAATCAAACCTGACAAAGTAAGGTAAATACCATTCCCAACCACCTATAAAGTGGACTACAATAAGTAGTAGTGATAATCAACATTAATAATTGTGTAATTTAAACCACTTTCAAAGTTTTTAAGAATGACATTTAGCTTGATATTTTGGGTCTAACAAAGTTTTTTTGTTTGGCCAGTTACTGATGTCCAGTATTCAATTTTAGTATCAATACTTGGTAAATAAAAGGATGTTTAATAGATGGAAATATCATGCAATTCAGTTATTATCTCCCAAGAAAATGGGTGATTCAGTTTATAATTATATAAACATATAATAATATTCTAACTTTTAAACCATTATTTCTTTCATTTTGTCTACAGTGAGTTTACTTTAAAGTAATATGTTTAAAGCTTGTTTCTTGTACAATTAATTACATTCTTGCATTTCATAATATATAGCTGTCATTTGATTTTTTCATAAAGAAATAATGATTACCTGTCTTTCCAATTCTTTATTTTCATCATTGGCCACAGGAATCTTGAAGCCATCTCCCCAACCAAGAAGTTTCAATACTTCCTTCATTTCTCTAACCATTTTGGTTTTTTTCTTTTAAAATAACTACAAATAATTAAGTAAGAAAGCAGTCACTAAACAACTTGGTTTCCTTGACTACCAATCTAGAAGGAAGTTTTTTTTTCAAGGTTCAGAGTTCTTTTTCTTTTAACATTTTTGTTTAACTGTCATTACAAAAAACAGTATTAATATTTTATTGAAAGCACATTTTTATATGTGTATATTTTGGATAGTTATGGTGTAACATTAATAAGTAATCAAATCGATTTAATGCATTATTAAAGTACGAGATTGCCATTCATTGATTATTTGAGAAGTTATTTTTTGAGAGAGAAGCATTTGTGTGAAACAGAAGTAGTCCTTGGTTCAGGCATCTTTTTATGAAATTATTAACATCCTCCTAAAACTTCTTGAATGGCTTCATTTTGCTACAAATTATTTACTACCGAAAATACTCGAAATTGGAGTGCTTGGAGTAACCTCCACATATCGCCAAGAAGACGTTATAAAAATTTATGAACATCCAGATGATTTTCATTTTAATGGCTAATAAAGATGTGTACAATCAAATGGTCATAGTAGCCTACAAAAATATTGGAGCGTTTGGCGTGACCTCCACCTCTTAGCATGTCATTACTACATTATGAAAATTTATAAACATCCACATGATCTTCACGTTAATAAAGATGAGTACAATCAAATGGTCATAGTGGCTTACAAATATAGTGGGACATTTCTTCAGATCTGTGCCTTAAATTTAATTTCATGGTGTATGCTTTATTGGACAAGAATATTTGAGGTATGGTTTACGATGTAGTTTCGAAGTTTATTTTCTTTCTTTCGGCATAAATTCAAGGGGCTGGTTAGATCTCGCCATCCCATCTTCCTAGGAAGATATAATTTCGATACTGATGAATTTGGACGTCTCTTCCTTAAGAGAACCAATTGAACACTGAGAACGCCATGGAACCTTAAATATTGGTTTTCATCCACTTTAGTACTCCAAATGAGTCGGATGAAGCTGGTACTGCCCCGCTATGCATTTTAAATGTGATTTAAGTACTAATTTGGCATGGTACTTAATTTTGTCCTCAAACTGTTCCTTTGATTTCGAGAGTTGGTGTATTTTTAAGTATTTATACGAAGCAGATTCTCAGTTGACCCATTATTACATCTTCTGATAGCTCAATATTATTCCCTTCAATAATTCTTTCTCTTTTCACACGCAATACTGTCCATTTATCTATTCTTAGGCACATTTATCTATTCTTGGTCCCATTTATGTTACATTGCTGAACGTCCTTATATATTTCTGAAGAGCTCGCATAGTGTAAAACTTAAGGTTATCCATATAGAATGAATGAGAGAGCTTCGTTTCAGAGTTTTTTTTTTTTTTATTGAGTTACCTCCTACCCACCATTTCTGGCATACGGGAAGGGGGGGGGGTTTGTCTAGAGGTTGAGCTAAACCTATTCTAACCAGAGTGGTAAGGTCGAGTTCCATTCCGTGGATCCACCACGAAATAAAAGTTAATTCTTCCCAGGCCTGATTCGAACAGGCGTTTCTACTGTTGTTTAATAATATTATTAGGGCACTTTAGCGTTTCTAGAAACGAGCAGTACAACCGGCAACGCTCCAACACTCTCGACCATCACGACCTTACTTCGTTTCAGAGCTGAAAAGGTATCCTTTGACTCAGTGACGGATCCAGAAATTTTCTCAGGGGGAAGGGCTCACTTCTGTACCAGATTTTTTTTTTCTCAAGATTCAAGTTGAACATTCATAATCATCTGAGAGAATACGCAATCATTCATAATCATCAGAAACAGTCTGAGTTGAACTAATAAAACTAAAATAAAAAATTAATATAAAGAACGTATAATAGTATTGACCTACATAAGGAGAATAATATAACTTCTTCAAATGATAATTTCAATTACTGTAGTAATTATAAAATTTTCGATTAATCAAAAAAAAAAAAAAAAAAAATGCTTGCCTACCTTCGGTAGTGAGGAAGCAAAAGGAAATTCTGAAGAGAAAGCAGTAATTGTTTAAAACTCTATAACTCTGCAACGAACCGACCGATTTCGATGATTTTTTTTTTATTTTGTCAACAATTCAGAAATCTTTCATGGGAATATGTGTATTATCGGTCAAAAATTCTGTACCTTTTTAGTTATCGTCAAATAAAATATTGAATTCATAGTAACATTTTTCAGCTTGTTTTCGGGAAAGTATGTTATACACATAAATTAAAAGGGTTTCAAGGGGAATTAGCCAACCTTAGCCAAGAAGAACCAAAGTTACGTGAAGTTACATACGCCAAAAGTTACGTTAGCCAAATCGGTAAAGCCGTTTTGGCGCTAAGTTTATAGCGACACATTTTTTTGCGGCTTTGAACAGAAAAACATTTACATTTTTATTTTTTTTACATATATAAAATTATCGTAAGACAGAAATACTATGCCAGAAACCTTCCCAGGAGTGTACGGAACAACTTCCCAAAGTTTCATGGCGATCGGATGAATGGTTTAGTAATGCACAAAGGACAAACAGACATACATTCATTTATATATATATATATATATATATATATATATATATATATATAAAAAAAATATATAATATATATATAGATTACAAAATTCGTCTATAAGGATGAATTTTCCTTATATTTCTTTTATATTTCACTAAACAGGTGCTTTTTCGGAACCCCGGCTGGAACCGCTAGTGCTTTGACTGTATCTTCACGCTATTACGCTAAGCGGATTTAATGCCAAACAGAACTAAAACTGAAAAAATATTCCTGTTTTTATGTACATATTTAGTAGAACTATCGTATTCCGTTACAAGTTGCTGTACAGTGTGAGAACCTCCAAATTTTCATAAGTCGTTCTAATGGATCTATTATTGCCTGGTTTACTTTGTAAAAGTTCAACACTACCATTTCATAGGGAAGCTCATGATAGAAGGAGACAAAATTCAATATTTATTTGTTTGGTCAGATTTAGCACTTCATTATTTTCTGGATGTACGATCATTTACTTGGGCGTATTGGCACGGACACAAGTGCGCCCTCTCTCAGAAAATTCCTAGACCCGCCACTGGCTTTATAATTTGTCATCTTATTTTATAGGGATAATATTGGTTACAATCATGTAAAAACCAAAAGTAGACATTTAGAGTTAAAGTCGGTGGATTTAGGGTTAAATTTAGCTAAGTTTAGGAGGAAAATACCCGATAGACTTGGCAACCCTGGTGGTATGGTACAGATTAGCTCTTGGCAGTAAACGATTTTTTAAGCCCGCCAAAATTATAAAATTTTCTGTTCATCATTTTTTTCTTCAATTCAGACTGCTGATACAACATAGCCTGCTCACATAGAACAAACTACATGTAAACAGGTATATACCTTTGTCTCTTGTAATCCAAACATTTCATTGATACACACATAAGAAAAAATCAGAATATGAATCATCTCATTATATTTAATAATTACGAAGAGAAGAATGGTTGGGGTGATAAATTACTTATTTATCTTAAATTAAATTAAATTACTTATTAAAAATAAATTACTTATTTACTTTTCTTTTTTGACTTATCACCCCAACCATTCTTCTCTTCAATTCTTCACTACAGTCAACCATCAATAAATATATCTCAATTATAATAATATAGTGCATTGAGGGGCAGAGAAACATTGGTGGATCTAGGGGGAGGGGCTTATGGACTGAAGCTCATTCCTCCTCCCCTTCCCAAATGGTTAAATATAACCATTTCTAATAAAAAAATGTTATCTCTAAAAGTATTATTGTACATGTAATTACAATTTCAAGAATCACTTAAACAACTTTTCATATAGGTAGGTCGGATCTTTCTTCTTCTTCCAAAGTAATAATCATATATATAATATATATATATATTATATATATATATATATATATATATATATATATATATATATATATATAATGTATGTATGTATTTGATTTTAAAAGTCTTCCCAAAAGATGTTTATATATATATATATATATATATATATATATATATAAACATCTTTTGGGAAGCCTTTTAAAATCAAAACCTGGATCTGCTAGTGTAGGGAATTGATCCATAATTTTATTATGTATTCTATTTTTAGTTACATTTCATTATCAATTTAAATTTCTAATGAAACCTACAATGTGCAATAAAAGAAATGAGAGATTTCATTAACATTAGTCTTCTTTAATTTTTCAATCCACAAAATATGGTACTCCAATAATTTTCTATTAATCTATATTTATATAACACTATGCTTTATTTTTCAATGAGTTTCATATTTTTTTAAGCTAAATTATTCTTTCATTTTTTCTTTTATGGCTAATTTACAAAAATTTAATGTAGTTGCATTGAGATAAATTTATGGTTTCATTTCATAGCCCTGATTATAGGAGACATTTTGAAAAACATTGTAGTTGAACAAATATATCCTAATTAAACTTCATTAGATAATGAAAAGTAAGTTACAGGATCTTGGAGACATAATTTTATTTAAGAAAGAGTTCAAATTAAAAAAAAATATACATATATTTATACAGATTGTTGGTATGAAAAATTGTTTTGGAACATTTTTTTTTGTTCTCACAGTTTTTGATCTAATTCTTTTTCGAGTGTTTCCTTGAGCACATATTTTTTTATTTTTCCTGTCGGTGTAGTTGGATATTCATCAACAAACCTAACATATCTTGGAATCTTAAAGTGAGAAATCTGTAATAAAAATTTATATTGTTAAATAATAATACTTTAAGGATTCTTTTAAATTAATCTTTATATAAAAATAAGATTATAATGATTTGATAAGAATTATTATACCTTTCCTTTGCAATATTCTTTCAAAGTTGTCTCATTCATTGTTGATGATTTATTTATCTTAACAGCTACTGCTACTTCTTCTCCCATTCTTTGGTCTTTTACTCCAAAAACCTGAAATATTATTACACAAAATCTTTTTTTAATGATATCTGATTGTACATCAATAACTTACCTCTAAAACCTTATAAGTTCATTTGGAATGAGAGGAGAAATATTCTTTCTTAAGGCCATGGACACACAAGCCTTTTCCATCAAATATGAAAAGATGCAGCAAATTTGGGCATACTTATTGCGTGTCTTACTGTGACAGAACAGCTATGCCCAAACATAGCTCTATTTTCATGCACAAGCCACCACTGATCTGTTACAGTGTGTTGCTGTATTTTTTCATGCAGTGGTTTTGAATGAAAAAGGCTCATGTGTTCGTTACTTAAGGTAGGAGAGGATTGATGGTGGTTTTTATTACTTTTATCTTGACCGATTAATATTAACTAGACACCTGTTTTTTGTTTCTTATTAATTGAAAACAGAAAACTTATTTATATCCAAAATCTAAATTGCTGATTTCAATATACATCATATAAAAAGATAATTTAATCATATTAAGAGAAAATACAGATTTAATTTTTATTTCTAAAATGTGTTTAAATGTTGATGTAAATTTATGGTACTATTCTGTGAATATAAATTCAGCAATAAATAGTCCTGTATTACTAACCTGAGCATCTAGAATATCAGGATGATTTAACAGAAACTTCTCTATTTCTGAAGGGAATATATTTTTCCTCCTCTAATTATGACATCTTTTATCCTTCTACGATGGTACCATATCCATCTTCGGTCAGCACCATAAGATCTCTAGATATATGAAAGTTATCTGTATATTTTAATATCTTACTAAGTGTGTTTATTTATATTTAGTTTTAAGAAAGAAAATTAAAGTAATTAATGATTTACTTTTTTGTGATTAAGATTTTTGTGCGTTAGTTTGAACTGTTTCTAAAAACAAATTTTATATTGATGAATCAAGTTTTATTTTTGCTTTACAATGAAATACTTTGATGGTATAAGATACAATGACAATATTTCTATGATGTTTCACAATGATTGTAGTAATGATTCACAAGAAATAATGATCAGAAACTAATTTTATGTTCTTTTTAAACAGTCTTTGGGGTTGAAGGAAATGAGATATGGATTCAATTTCCTTAATTCCAGGGCTAAAGATCTGGAATGGGATCAAACCTTCTTGTGAAGATAATTGAGTAGGTAGTAGAATGAAGAAAATAAAAATGTTGAATTTGAAATGACTTTAACTATTGATACAGTGATTATTATGTTATAAGTTATAAGTTACTATCCTGGGAAATGTTTTCTATAAGAGAGGAACATATTATTTTTTTTTTTTTTTTAGTAAATTTCTATTCAAATATATTTTTTCTAGAGAGAAAAAAAAATTAACTCTTAAATTTTAATTGTGTCCGAACAAATATTAGAAAATCTGATATATAAATATAACATACCGACTGATTGTTGGTATTAAATTATTTTATACATTTAAAAATTATGAGAGTATTAATTAAAAAATCAATTTATTGATTTTTAAAATATCAAATACGATTTTCTCAAAAATGGCTCTAACCATTTTGATTAAATTCATTATATCAGTGTAAATGTAAGCATTTACACTTACATTTATTATTATAAAATGTAGGTTTTATTCTGATTGATATTCTCTAGCAGGGCTCAAATGGCTAATTTTCAATATTAGCTTCCACTAAAGTGCCTTTAATTTTTTTTATTTGAATCAATTGACCATTTCACATTAATCTCTAATATAAAAGATAGTTAAATATGAAAGAATTTGATAATTAACTAAAGGAGATATTAGAGATTGTAAGGGAGAATAGTTGCAATTCAGGAACCAAAGGAATACGATCGCGCCCGAGCTCATCGAAAGATTAGAACACGCTTCCATACGTAACATGAAGTTAATATAATAAGGATTGCGATAATATTATGTAAATATACATATGCAGTTTTCATAAAGTAATGTTGGTATTATTTAATATTTAATTGTATAGATTACAGCTATATAAATATTAAAATTTGTATATATAAGGGTACTTATACAAATAAAAATATCCACAAAGAAATATAAACCAATATAGCATTTATAATTTTTACTTTCACTTCCCCTTTGTCTGAAAATATTTACTTCTGTTAAGAAGAGAGTGTTACTTAAAAGTTGTGTGATACGTGCACCGCAACAGATAATTTCAATATTTTTATACAATAATTTAAAAAGATTTTATTTTATAGTATGATGACGTGATGTTAAAATTTCAGTTATAGTTATCTAACTAATATGTACTATTTAAACTAATAAGACTGTTGTTCATACCCAGATTTTAAACCAATTGGAAGATGTTATAGCTTCTTTAGTTTTCTTTTCATCTCCCCAATATTCAAGCAAATTTCCAAAACTTCTGAACCAAACTTCACCAGACTCACCAAAATTTACCATTCTTCCTTCTTTATCAACTATTTTAACCTACAACATTTATTTATTGTTTAAATAATTTATCAAATATAATTATTTAACATAAAATTGTTTGATGTGAATTATATAGAAAGCTGTACTGTAACAATCTCAATTCACTTTTCATGACATGAAATTGGTGTCCTAGAATAGCTTCTTAAGAGCCTGGAGTCATGACTTATTTTGGCTCAGGTATGAAAAAAAAAAAATAATATGGTTTCTACATCTTAAATCTAACTGGTTTAAGCCACATGCTTTCACCTATGACTGAAATATGTTGTTTTCAGTACTTTAAATATGATGATTAAATTTATTGAAGTTCCTTAGATATCTCCAGTAAGTATGAGCTGTAAATACATAAAATGAATTTACATAAATTTAACATAGGGGGAAGTCATCATTCGTAGCATCCCAATGATATATTTATTATGTTAGAAAGTCACAAAAAGGATTATTTTTTATGAAAAAAACAAAACAAAAAATTTATTTTTATTTAAACTTATAGATTCAATACCATTCATTAGGGCTTAGATCGCCAGCCATTTATTGGGATTAAAAAATAAATTACAAAGCATATGAGAACAATTAATTTTAGCCTATTAATAAAACAAATGAATTGGATATATATTCAATGAAATATAATTTAAATGTTACTTAATATAAAACAGCTTAAAAACAATTAATTTCCTGGTGCCACCAAATGTCGAAGTCTGGCAGTGCCTATCTTATTGTTTATATAAAGTTATCTATAGTTTATTCATGGCTGTTCATCAAGGACATGTGGAACATTAAAATATAGAAATATAATGATTTAAAAAATCAAACCTGAATTAGCTATGAGAAATTCCATGTTAACACTCTGTGATATTATGTTTTATTGTGTTAGCATAAATTAACAAAATGATATATTTTAAATAATTTATTAAAAATCTTATATACTTATATTGAAGAAAAATCATGCTTATTTTTAAACCAGTAGTTGGATTACGGTGTAGAAATAAATAAAACAATTAGTTACTTCCAGGTGATCAGCGACAAAACCAACTGTAGTGGTTCTCTGTTCAAAGGTATCATTTTGAGTGTTGGTGAAGCATATAGGACTGGTCTCTGTTAAACCATATGCTGACTGAAATCAATTTAAAAATCATATGAAAATTAATACCCTATAGAAAAACGAAAAAAAGTAGTAATTGTAAAAAGCTCACAACATTAATATCATTATGGAAGTTAAGCTTATGAGAATATGTACAGCGTTTGGATGTTGCATTGACAGTATTATTTATTCTATATCTCAGTTTTAATTTATTAAAATTGATATTAGATTAAGTTTGATCTGAAACACAACACTTCCAATGCTTACCGAGGTGACAGCTCCTTTCTTATAATATTAGAAGTAGTGTAATACATTTTTGTTTATTAATCTGAAATTAAAGGTTAAATAAATGTTTTATGTTTTAAATTGCATTGTAAATGGTTTGAAGTTTACTAGATTCTAAGAGTATATCAGGCCAATTTCACATCCATACGAACAGGGTGACAGCAATTTTTTTGTTTGTCTATTCATTATTGTTCAAAAAAATGTATTGAAAATATGTAATTATTTTCTCAAGGAAGAAGATACACTTGCTAGTGGAGTGCTGCTGTCTATCAGAAGCCAGTGGAATTGCGCTTACTTGTACTTGAATTGACAGCTGATTTCCAATCAATGAAAGAGATCTACAGAGTTTGGCGGAACCAGAATACTTATTTGTACTTATTCATAATTGAAGTCAGTTTAAAAATTGACAGAGGTTACCACCAGCCCATTGAAATAAGAAAAGAAAACTTGGAGAGAATTAAAGAAGGAAGCACCATAGAGGGCTCTTGTCCTTGAACCCCTTACATACCACACCAGATATTTATCAATAACTTTTAAAAGATGCATAATTTGAAAGTATGCATAATTTGAAAGATGCAGTATTTGAATTTTAATTAATTTTAAAATGATCAAAATTAACTAAAACATTAACATCATTGTAACCCTTATTTTTGGGCCAATTTCCAATTATTTAATTATATTTTCTGTTAAATTTCAGCACCCAATTCTTATTTATAGTCCACTATTTATACATTCCACCCATTCAGTACAACCATCTTACATTATAAAACCCTATGTGTCCTGCGTACTTTGGCACTCTTAATAAAAATATATTAATATATGTTAGACAAATTTCTCATTGTTATTATATTAAATGAATATATACCTGCACTTTACACTCAAAAATATTGTATATATCTTTGAAGAGAGAAGGAGTGCAAATGGCTCCTCCGCTAACGACCACCTTAAAATCTTTACATGCTTCACGAAGTTTAGGAAACTCGGGAAATAACTTCTTTAAATCATTGCATATGTCAATGTGCATAGTTGGAGTTCCATATAGCACATTACATCTACAAAAGAAAAGTTTTAAGGTGTGGAGAAAACAGACCATAAGTGATTTCATAAATTGTTTTAGATATTGTTCAATGTTTAAAAATATGTTTTAAACTGAATTTAAATATTTACTTGTGTTTTTCAAGAGCTTTGATAGTGTCTTCCTTTTTGTATGATGGTCCAGGCAATACAAGGGTCATGCCGAAGTCAAGAGCACACAAAATTCCTAAAGTTGAACCCATTATGTGAAACATTGGCACTTGCAAGCACAGTGTATGGTGCTGTAAGACAAGAGAAAAAGTTATGTCTAAGTAATAAGGATGTATTATTGTAAATCTATATTTGAATTTTAAGTACATCTTAATTTCCAAAATAGTACTTTTATGATGGAATATTGCATTTCATATTATACATCTTACTAAACAATATAAAACAACTGTAAATGATTGTTAATCAAAATATCTATTTTTAAATATTAGAATTAACATAGAATTATTTAGAAGTTGGTTGGGGAAGAGGAGTGTAGTCATTGACGAAATTATACGTATTAAAAAATAGCTCATTTTATTGTGTGCCAACATATTGATATAAGTTTTAGGCATTTATAAGGGCTATGTAAAAAAAAAAAAAAAAATTAAGAAGATACCTAGAAAATAAGAAGATAAAGATTGAAAATTTGGAGCATGGGCATGGTTATGATAATCCTATCTCACGATAGGGAGAGGACTTCCACTAGCAGCTCAGGAGGAAGAGGACCGGCAGAGGCAGCATGAAGAGGATCAAGTTGCTGTAAGCAGCGAAGCAGGAGTGCTGGACGAGCAACCAGCTGGAGACTAAGGTGCGGCCCCATCAGTTAGGCGTACACTAGTGCACTGGACCACCGCACCACAGCACAAAACCATTAAATTGTACAATAAAAATAACACATACAACAAAAAAAAAAATAAAGAGTCTTATTGACAGTGGTAGATTTACATATTCCCAACGTATTAATGCACTGCTACTGAAACCCCGTATGGCAAAAATGCCAGTAAGGAGAAAAAAAAGGTTATAATAATAACCATGGACCATCATCGTGTTACTCCTAATTTCCATACTATCCCAGTCAAGGAAGGAGGTAAGGAGGTATAGAGTGCATGAGCAGGGACCTAAGCAATTCCTTCAGAAACTTGTTCAGTGTGCTTAGTGAGTATTCATACCAAAAGTCCTTCTAATTGCTGAGTTGACGGGAGAAGAGGGGAGGAAAGTTCACAATTTTCAGGTTTTTGCTTATATCTTGAATATGGTGTGTCACAGGGGACATTTTTCTGTTTCTGGAGGAACTCCTGTGAAAACATAATTTTTAAGATATAAGAAAAACCCCAAAAATTTATCTGAAATGCTGAAAGTCTGGCACAAAATAAAATAATTTTCTTATATGTGTGATATTTCATCAGTAACTGCACCCAACAACCAACTTCTACAATTCATTCTACATTCATCAATATCTATACCATTACTTTTTTTACATTGAGAAATAAATTTCAAAGTTCTTAATTTGAAACCTAATGTAATTTTCAAGCTTCTACTAGCCATTGTCAAGGTTTTTTATTAGTTTAATAATCATCATATACATTAAGAAGCTATACTTAAAAAACTATAATTAATAATTTAATTAATTAAAATAATATAATTAATAAAAATAAAAATAATATAATATAAAAATAAAAAAAAAATTAATTAAAAACTAACTACTTATGACTAAAATCTTCCTTTAAATGAATGGTTCCAAAAACATTTTCATGATTTAAGTTTATTATTATTGTTTACCTTTACATGAAATAATCAGGTAATTCTTCAGAATAAAATACTATGTTATATTTCTCATAAAATATTAATATTAAATTTTTTTTTCAAGAGTATATATTATTATATAAAATTTATTATTTTGAGAAATATATTATGTATTATATAACTCTTTTCACGTCATTAAATTTTTATTTATTTTTTTAATTTTGTATTTGATGAAGTTTCAGGCAATTTTGTCGATTATCAAGTCAAAAATGAAATAAAATGATTATATGAGTCTCTCAGATGACAAAATGACTCCGATTTCAACATTTTTTATTATTAATTTTAGTGATATTTATTGTGGGAAAATGCTTCTGCATTTATAGAAATGTATTCGCAGTTCTATATTTAAACTCTGTAATCATCTACTCTGGAATCGACTTACTCAATATCTGTGCAGGTATTATAAATTTTCAAAATAGAAATATCATTAAAATGACTATTCAAAAATTTTGAAATTGGAATTAGTCATTTTATCAACTGAAAGGCTCATATAATCCACTAAAATTTTTATTTTATCTCAAAAATTAAAAAAAATATTTTTTTAATTTTGAGATGAAATAAAAATTTTAGTGGATAACTTAATCATTTTATATCATTCTTGACTTAAAAATGGGCATAATTTCCTGAAACATCGGCAAATACAAAAATAAAATAAAGTTTTTATGAAGTAAAAAAGAGTTATAAAATATATTGCTTGAAGTAATAAACTTTATTTAGTAGTATTAAATTTCATTATTAAAACACAAAAAATGTCTTTATATAATTAATTTTGGTTTAATTATGCTATTAAATCATGGTGAATTTTGATTTTAAAAGCATTAGTAATATTGCTAATTTGCTAAAAATATCAGATGCTATTTATATACTGTACCATGGTATCATAGCCGCACCTCTTTCCAAAAAAGTGGCCGTTATTTATGGTGCCGAAGTGTGAAAGTACTGCTGCTTTTGGTTGCCCTGTGGTACCCTTTAAAAAATAAATGCAATAGAGTAGTGTAAACGAATTAATACTTTGAAGAAGTAAACTTAATACAACCAAACTTTAAGTTAAATCAAATATCATTATATCTCAACTTGAAATTAAAAAAGTAAAAAAAAAAAAATCTATTCCACATTATTAAACAATATTTAAGATATAGGTATTAGCTAATTGATGTTCATGATAACTAATTTAAGTTATTTATTAGTTTGATAGCTAACATTTGAAGAAGACTCAGTACTTTTGTAGTTTAGTGTGAACAAGAATTGATTAAATATCTTGTAGCGTCTTAGTTTAGAGTATTTTGAGAATTAATTTTAAATATAAAAATCAATAAATATATTAACAATTTTCATTATTTTTTGATAAACTTAAAAAAAAAATTTTTTTTACCTTAAATATTATTTTTTATATTTGGAGAAAAAGTGCATATTAAGTTTTTTGTCACTATATAGTAGAAGAAACTGCTTCTTTAGGTTTAATTGTGGCTATTGTAGCCTTTGATTTTAGTGTTGTGTTTGCATTAGGTATATAATTTGGTTCATTCATTATTTTATAATAAGTTTTAATCTTTTATTTCTCTCTTATCGCTAATTATAATAATTATTTTATGTTTCAGGATAGCATTTAGAATAAGACATCAATTCCACGTTACATCAGTTATTTACTGGCTTAAGCCTTAAGATAATATTAATATTATTTATATTTGATATAAAATCCTTAAAACCAGTAATGAAAAAAAAACAACAGGTAATCTATATAATCTCACTTAAATATTGACCAACATAAAATTTAATCTTTCTAGAAAATCCCCTATGGTAGTATTTATTGTAAACTTCATTGAGTTTTATTTTTATAAGATTGCAACTGAATGATTTATTTTATATGAAAATAATTAATAAATATTTATTTAATAACTTAAAATTTTGATATGGCTTAAAGATTTCATGGTGAGAAAAGTTTCAACCAAGAGATATTGATTCCCTGAACCACCTCTTCTAAAATTTGATCTGACTTCATTTACTATCCTATCACGACCACTTGTTGCACTTTATTGACTTCTATATTGAATTGCTGGTTATGATTGAATTGTGTTCCAGTTGTGGTTTGTTCTAGTTTTCTTCTATTTTTGTGAGAAATCATATTTATGAATTTTTTAATTTCCCTCTATGCTTTTTTTCTGTTTCTCCCAGAATTTATTTAGTAAGTTGAGGTAGGGAGGAATCTAGTATTGTAGTTATTATTTTATTTGTATTTGTTTATCCTTGAAGAAATTTCTGTTAACATCATAGATCACTCCCTTCTCCCTTCCAGCTAAGTTCATTCCGTTCCTAATCTGTCTGTCAATAATTAAGTTTATGTCCATTTGGGCACTCCAAAATAATGCTATTTTGATTAACTAGTGATATGGGTTTAAAATAAGTAATAATAATAAGACGGTTAGTGAACCTGAAGGTTCGATGCCGACACCACCAATCGCTGTCTAAACACCTCCCTCCACCGGTCACTGTCCAAACCCAGTCCCTCCAGATCGGGCTTAACTCAATCTTCTCACCTTCGCTTTGGTCTACCCCTCGGATGTTCACCAGTCGGCACAGCAAATGTTAACCTTTTAGGAATACTTTTGTTAGCGTTTTACCTTAGGGATATCCATGACTATTTGTGGTGTATGGTGAACTTAAGATAAGTGAGTAGGGCGTTCACAATCCTATGTCACACCCTTCAGCAAGTCTGATGGGCTCTTCTCATTGTTAACCAGCGAGTCCTGCTAACAGGCTTGGCCTGGAGGAACTTTCCAAGGAATTTTCACTGACCATCCCCACATAGGACCCTCCCATATGCGGTAATTAGCCTGTGCGAGGTTAAAAATAAGCAGTAGGATAAGATATATCTTTCCTAAAACCAAAAATTTTATTTATGATTATTTGTTTATGTACTTTATTTATTAAGGTTCCCCTGTTGTAATTAAAGACTTTTTTTTTTTTTTAGGGAAAGGTTTTAAATTTAAATGTTCTTTTACTTTATAATGTTTAAATTTTTTTAAATGAACAAATTAAAATAAATCTTACCGAAGAAAATTGTATGCAGGTTGGATCATCCGGTTGCACTTGGTTTTCTACTTCAAAAATTATTTCTTTTTCCTGAGGTGAAACCATTATGTCGTCATATCTATAGCACCCTCTGTAATAATACATTAAATATCAAGTTTCAGATATTTCACATGCATGTTATGTGATTATAATGTTTATGTCAAAAATTATTTGTTTGATATCCTTTTTGGGGCTATACATAAATTTTTTTATTATGCAACTGCCACTGTATGGTCCAAAACTTTATTCTTTATGTTATTTAAACAAATATTATAGTTACGGTAGCTTTTCATCTGTAGCCACAATAACAAATGATAAGTCTGGTAGCTCCGGGCAGTTCAAGGGCTCACCATGCGGTGCTTTTGATATTCCAGGTGCCACTTCTGCTAGGATTTCAGGATAATTTTGAGTTTTAAACTTGTGATCAGTAACTACACCCTTCACTCCTACATGTTTCAGAGCATAACTCAACTCTAATGGTCGATAAGCTGGGTTCAACATCACCTGAAACATATTTAGTTTTTACTATTAATATCTTAAATTTTATTTTTCTAAAATTATATACCTAACTTAACATTAAAGCTTTTTTTCTAACGAGTGTTATGTGATGTCATTATTATAATCCTTGTGATGAGAGATACAATAGATCTCATCTTCCTACTAAGATTTGATATGAATAAATTTAAAAGCAAAAATCAACTTTAAGAAAATGATACAAAGTAATTATAGATTTTTTGTCAAATTTAAAGTTTACATATATATTCTTTCCTGATAACTACGTTTAAAAATTAATCAATGAATAAAAATATTTACTAATGGTATCAGTAATTTCTGTTTTTGTTTGATTGGAAATATTAAATTGGTTTATAGAAATTAAATTGGCAAACTTATGGGGAGCGGGGTAGCTCAGTGGGTGAGCACTGACTTCCAGAGCTCATGTTCCTGGGTTCGAATCCGGCTGATGACTAGTAATTTTTCATTAGCCGGACGCTGGGATCGGGAGATCCTTCTGGGGCAAATCCATCCTCTATAAAGTGGGTACTCTTAATCATAAAAAATAATTAAGGGGAAAACCCTGGCGGTTGAATGTGATATCAGCCCTCCCTGCACAACCGTTGGCCTTGAAACAGTACTTCCTCACATAGTACTGCACCCAAGGACCCTTCATGGGTTGTAGTGGTACAATAAAAAGAAACTTATGATAATCAATTCTGGATTGAACACAGAAAAAATTGAGAAAAATATTTTTTGTTTGATTGGAAATTTTTAACTATATTCTGTTTTTCAGTGGTTATACTTTCTCAGTGTTTATGTTTTTTTTTTTTTTATCTTTATTACTGAAAAGCCTTCTTAAACTCTTAATTTGTTTACCCATATTCAATCTTTAAATTCAAGATTCCAGCTCTCAAAATTGTAGTACCATGTAAGAAAGATTTTCTACTTCCTTTCTTGCTTAGAGCTACTTTGTTAAAAAAATCCTTTGTCATTTGTGCCACCTTATTTTGGAATCCCATACACATTTCCGTTTGTAAACTAAATTTACTTTAAAAATTAATTATTTCTCTCCTTTTCCAGATAATTATCAATCTCTATGTAAAGGCTTGCTTATAAAAATAAAGACAGAGTTTATTTCAAAACTTAAATTTATTTAACATTCATGTAGTTAATTTTATGATTTAATTATTTTATAATAATTTAATTAACCAGACAAATACTATTAGTTTGTAAATATGTATACATTTTTATTTTTCTTTAGGGACAAGTTGTTCCTAGATAAAAAATTATTTCTCATTTCATTAATTTATCTTTTTCTCTTCCTTTGCATATCCATATTTAGGGTATGTGAATGAATATGTGTTACCACTTCTTATATGCAGAGAATCCATATTCAGCCTAGTCATTTCTATCTAGTTTATAATAGATACTTATCTTATGTTTTTCTTTAAAAAAAGTTAATTATTATTAATTGTTGTAATGAATTATATTATTAAATATAAATATTACCAATATCAGTCCAGCTTTAGCTGCTGCTTGCATGGTCACGTACCAATGAATTGTATTCGCACCTATGACAGCAAGCCTATCTCCAGGCTTCAGTCCCAACTTTACGAAACCAGCTCCAAGTTGATCCGCCTATAATTCAACAAAATAATCTGTGATATTTATTGTTTTTCATTATTTTTTAACAGATTCATTTCATTATTGTATTAATTACAGATCTATAATACAATTTCATCTTTATTTGTTTTTATTTAAAATTTTCATTACGTGTTTAACATTTTAATGAAATTTTATTTCTTTGATTTAAAAAATTATGATTTCTGTGAATTGTATAAGATAAAGGGTAAAAAGTTTGGTTTTTACTTCCTCGACAACTCAAAGAAAAGGGTCTCTTGAATTCATGCTTCAGTTTCATTATGAATGAGACTTTAGTGATATGATGTTATTTTTAGGAGTTAATAAATGTAATGATTTTCAAGATAAAATCTTTCATGGCTATAATGGACAGTCTCACTCCAAACCATTACATGAAAACAGAACATTTTAATCAGAACCATTCTATCTGATCTCAACAGTTTTATTTAGTTTAATATGTGGTGGATGCTCATTTATACCTGTATATTTAACTAATGATTCATTTTATATTGAGTAGAGAAATACTTTATTTAAAGCAGTGCTGCCCTACTATATAGGGTTGCTCGATACACAGCATACTCATCAATCCTTTTTTTTTTTTGGACATAGCACTTAATTATACTTAATCATATGTTTATATATATGCAAATTCTTTTTCATATTACACAGCACAAACAATATCATTACTATAATATACTAAGAATAAGAAGGAAAAAGGATATCCTGATCAACAAAATATTTATTTTTAAGATAACTATATATTATTATATATTACTTTAAGTATTGTTATAAAAATTGTATTGCTCGATACACAGCATACTCATCAATCCTTCTTTTTTTTTGGACATAGCACTTAATTATACTTAATCATATGTTTATATATATGCAAATTCTTTTTCATATTACACAGCACAAACAATATCATTACTATAATATACTAAGAATAAGAAGGAAAAAGGATACCCTGATCAACAAAAAATTTATTTTTAAGATAACTATATATTATTATATATTACTTTAAGTATTGTTATAAAAATTGTATTGAGAGAGGGTGAAGGAAGGCATGAAAAAATTAAGAGTGTTTCTCTGGCAAACATTGTAGTTCTGACCCTATACATATACGAATCATCCCGGTTATATCCGACACTATATAACTCTATTGTGTATTATTTAATTTTTAATATTAAAAAAACCTATAAATTCTCATAAGGTTTAAACAGGTTATTTCATGAGACATATTTATTTTCATTGTTTACCTGTTCTTTTAATTGCATGAAGGTAAGCTGCTTCTTTTCGTGAAGAGAAATAATGGCGTTTCTCTTTGGCCATTTCTCTGCAGCCAGATTGATGAGTTGACCAGTGGTGATTGCTCTAAGTCGCTCAGTCCCTGGGTTGTGGTAGTAGGCAGGCCTTTTTTTGATGTCTCCACTAGATTGAAAACAATCAATCGTATTATTAATTCTACCGAGATCAAGTGTTGAGCTGACTAAGCAGTCACTTTGGTCTCCAGAGAGGCCCAGAGTTTTTAAATTTCTTAACTTAAAGACAACCGAAAAGATTTATAAACCCTTCATAAAATAATCGATCAAATCTAAAAAAAGATTTAGACTTATGGCTTCTAAAATGAAACTTTTGTTTACAACAAAAATCTTCAAATATACAATAAGATGGCTTAAATATTCTAATATACTAATACACCTATATAAAGTTCTCAACTAAAAAAGAAATCAGAGGATTTATTGGTTACATGAGTTAGGCCATTATTCACCAACATTTTGTTTATTAGCTATTTTATTACGATGTTTCGACCATCACTAGAGCCATTCTCAAGTCTGAAAATTGTAATGTCATTATTAGTTAACATTTAACATTTACAAAAAAAAATAATTTTTTTTTATTACACATAATTAACTTATCTAACGATCTATTTCATAATATTTTCAATACACATAGATTTGTATACTTTTTCTTATAAAAACCTTTCATGTACGTAACTTTACTCATTAAAAACAATTGAAAATTACCTTAATGATTCCTCCATTAGATATTAATTATTAATGTTGTATTAATTTGTTCAGTGAAAAATTAAATTGTCCTGCTATTTAAGAGTTTCCCCTGCGTCATTTCTGGAGGGACTGACTTATATCGTCCTGGTGGAGATAGTCAAGGGGAGAGGGGTTTTCCTTCTATTGTTTTGCAATAATGGATTATTTTATCTAATTTATGATTTTTATATTGCTTTTAAATTAATTATTATATTATATGTGAATATTGTTAATTACATTTGCTTAAAAAGTATTTATATTGTCCACATTTGTATGGTTGTTAACGGAATTCTTTAAATTTTTAGTGATATATATTGACTCTATAATTTTTCTTTTGTTGTTACTATTTTACTTATATATTATTTTGGTATTTTTAAAATCAACTTGGTGTTTGTTGTATGTTTTGTGTTGTGAAAGGCCGGTTGATGTGTTTGATTTGGACTTACAATTTTGTTCATGTTGTTTTATTCTTTTTATGAACCCTTGTCCCGTTTATCCTATATAAGATTTATTAGTACAATTTTTACAATTTATTTTAATTAATAACGTTACTTTTCATGTCACATGGTATATTATCTTTGATATTAGTATACATTTTTTCAATTTTATTTACTGGCTTTTTACCTAATTTAATTTTCGATAGATCATATTCCCTGAAAGTGCTTTGAATTTTACTAGTTAGATCTATAATATATGTTATTGAATGATATTTAATGTTACGTGGTTCAATTTTATTTTCAAATTGTATGGCACTAGATAACTTTTGAGATTGTTTTTCAAGGTTATTAGATATTTCAGAATTATTATTTTTGAAGTAATTTGTGATTAAATTAGATTTTTTGTTTACAAATTTACTTAGGTAGTTATTTTTGTTATGGTTTGTTTTCTGCTGTTTGTTATCATTACTATTATCACTCCGTTTTATTTTTTGGTTTTTGTACCATATTTTATTTATAATTCTTTTAGGGTACCAATTATCCAGTAATATATTATATATTTCAGTTTTTATTTTATTGATATGTATTTTATCCGTGATCAATTTAGCTTTTTCTGTTATGTTTTTAGCTAAATTAATTTTTTGATTTGGACAATGGTTTTTGTACCAATTTAAAATTCTATTGCTAGTTATGGATTTTTTGCACCAGGATATTGTGAGTTCTCCTATTTCATTTCTATATATCATAATGTCCAGAAATCTGATTTTATTGTTTAGTTCTATTTCTATTGTAAATTTTAGTTTGTCTGATATGTTATTTAATATCTGTAAAAAATTTTTAGTTTAATTTTTCTGCATTATCATGAGGATATCGCCTATGTATTTTATACAGAGTTTTGGAGTTATATTAAGTTTTTTCATCCCTTGGTCCATTATGTGGTTTAGATATATGCCGCTAAGATTGACCGAGAGGGAACCCCCTATCGGTAGACTGTTTTTCATTAAATAAAAAGTATTATTATATGCAAAATATCCATTTTCGCAACAAAATCTTATTCCTTCAAGGAATATTGCCTAATTTTTAATTGGTCTATGAGGTTCTATTTCCGACCATTCTTTTTCTAGTATTTTATATACTTCTTTTAGCGGAATGTTTGTAAAAAGAGACTCCACGTCATAACTTATTATTTCTTCATCCTCATCGATTCTATTTAATAATTTAATACTATCTTTAACTTGTATTGAGTTTTTGGTATCGTTAGGATTATTAATTTTAGGAATAATGAACAGAAGAAATTAGACGAATGATTAAAAATTATATGAAAATGAAACTTTTATTTTTCATAAACTAAAATAATTAAAACACAACGTGACAAAAATGAAGTGGAAAATAAAATTTACAAACATATGTGTAAATGGTAAAAGAAGCAATATGAAATACTTTTTAGAAACTAAAATATCAAAGGAATACAAACTAATGATTGGTAACAAAAGAAAAAGCAATAGATAATTGTATTTTTTTTTATTTTGGCATTACAGATCTTTTGTTGTCTTAACCAGCCTTTTCCATCTGAGCCTATCCTGCTATTTCTTTCCAATTATCTACTAGCTGCTCTATTGCATCTTTGTTGGTTCTTTCTATGAACCTGGTTTTCAGTCTTCCACTTGGTCTCTTGTCTAGTATTGAGGCATTTATTGTGTATAAAGCCTTTCTGGTGGATTGCTCTGAGCTACATTTCTCCCCAATCTTAATCTCTTTGCCTTCATATCATGAGATATTAGTTGATCAGTTTCTGTAAGCAGTTCTTTATTTGTCCTTTTTCTCCATACATTAGAGCTGTGATCCAAGATCGCTCTCAAGATCGGAAAAGTAGCAGCTTAATAATTAATAGTTGTAACTAATAGTTAAAAAAAAAAAAAAAAAAAAAAATGGATCGTACAATCCATAATCTACCAGTGATATAATAAATAGGACTTTTGTTATTTTAATGCTAATAATGATTTGTTAGCTGTATTTTTTTAAATGTTTTTTTTGGTTAAATATGCAATTAAAAAATTTGTTAATAGCCCAACTTGGCCAGAAAATAATTTACATTCAAATTCAAAGTGGAGCGGTAAGTGAAAGTTGTGTTTTGCGCGCACCACATTTTTTTATTGGTTGAAATAATTAAAATATACAATTATATGCATTTATTATCAAATATGCAATATAAAATTTGATTAGTTGCATCTGAGTACACAGGTTTTTAGTTTGTTTGCAGCTGAGGTTTTTAGCTAATATTGCTCAGTAAAATATTAACGTGCCTTAAAATCTATAAAAATGAACCTATACATCTTTTTGATAAAATAAATAGTTGTGGAGATATTTTTGAGAATATATTTATTGTATTTCCACCTTAGGAAAAAATATCTTCAATGCACAAAATTGATGTTATTCACAGCAAATGCGTAAAATACGAATAGCATATCACAAAGTAACAACTAAGCAATATTTAAATTATTAAGAATATATATACGTAAATATTAATATGCTTTTTAAAGAATGCATTCTCATTTCATTATTCTTGTCACTTTGTCACTTTTCCTCCTTGCCATTGCTAAGCCAAAACACGTACATCATTTTGGAATTAATTAACATATAAATAGATTTAGGTCACATGTAATACGATTTTCGGCGGTAAAGCAGGAAATTTATTATTTTTTTAAAAAGAAAGTTGCATTTTGTTGAAAAGGTAGAGATAGCTAAAGAAAAAATCTGGTGCGTCCACTCACACGACTTTCCTACCAATTTAAGAAAAGTTTTTATATCTTTACATATGTCCATCAAGAAAAAAAAATCTGGTGCGCGCAACACATACCTTTCACTTACCGACCAACTTTGAATAGAAATTATTTTCTGGCCATGTTGGGCTATTATACAATTTTTGAATTATTTTTAATTGAGCAAACAGATTTGTATTTCGATAAAAATCCGGGCACTGATGATCAGGGGTGCCCATCTCCTCCGAGGTCGGTGGTGCAAGAACTTACGCCCTCTTCTCCTCCCAAGATATTTTATTATTAATCTTTTCTTAAAAAAAAAAAGTAAGCTAAGGTAAAATTAGAAAAATCGTAGATCATATACAATTATACTTGCTGCTGTCTGTTCCATATTTTCTTCTTACACCTTTGTCCGAAAATTCATCACCCCGTCGAAATATGCCTCCCTCAAAAATTTTGATGGCTCAACTTGCGCCATTTCATTTAGTAACATTTAGTAACATTTTAGTAACATTTAGTAACATTTATATTGTTATTAAGATTTAGTTCCTACAAGTTTTACTATGTATTACAATCCTTTTTCATTTATAGATTAAATATTTACGTAGATGTACTTTCAAATTTCTCTTTGTATATAGAGCTCGGGGACTGAATTTATGTGGTTGAAAAAGACCGATGAAGTTACGAGGTTTTTATTATTTACTGCCGATATAATAAATAGTGTTGGTGTTATTTTAATGACCTTTATGAGTTTTTAAACTTATCTGTAAGGTTTGAGATTCATCTCCGTTGAGTATGCACTTCAAAAACTTCATTATAGCCCAAATTACTCGAGGCAATATATCAAAGTAAGTAGTGTATATTTTTGGGAGGAACAAATGATTATAAATATGCTGATATTTAATCACTTTGAATTTCTCTTAAAATTTGAATAAAATACCGCATCGATCCACAGCTGAAATAATAGAATGAATAATTATATCCAACAGCCAGACTCAAACCCGGATCAGGGAGATACTAATACAGTGCCTTACTCACAGGCATTTGGATAGGTATATTGAATTGTTAAGATCTCCTACCTCAACAAACGCGTAGACTCCTAGTTTCCTCTCTCATCTTCCCCCACTTTGACTACAGCTGTGTATGATGGCCTCTCTGTGAAGCTCTTCGATAGACTGAAAAGACTAATGAACAGCTGCATAACATTTGTAATTGGGGCCCCCAGATACTCCTATGCCTCTCAGCACTATACTGAGTTAAGGTGGATTTCCCCTTCTTCCGAAGACAATATTTCCTAGGTACGTTCCTCTATCAAATCATCAATAATTATCGTCCTTCTTACGCCTCCAACATTCTCCAATTCAAATCCTCAGTTCATTCCCCCACAAGACGCCTTTTAACCATTACATGCCTCCTCGCAGATCTGCCTCATTCCAAAACTCCTTTATTGCTCCAGAATAAAGGTATTTTCGATTATTATATATATATATATGTATATATATATATATATGTGTGTGTGTGTGTGTGTATATAAACGCTGAGCTCATCCATGACATGTTTTTACTCAATTTAGAGACGGATCTTACGCCAACGATGAGTTAAGCTCTGAGTTCAAGAACCTGTCTTATATATTTTATATATTGTTAAAAAATATACATTTACCGTCTTAAAAAGCATCAATATGCGCATATTCTTTTATTAATCGATATGCCACTACTTTGAACTAATAAGCAAAGGTTAATTCTAATTTTATTTTTAAAAATCCTTGATTTTATCTACATTATGAATTTTTATGATTTTTCAAGGAGTATGGTTACAAGGATTTACGATATTTAAAAAAAAAATATGATACTATTTGAATGGTTAATAATATTGCTATGCTTCTGATTTCTAAGGCGAGTGGGGTTATCAGAAACAATGTTTATGTTTATTTATTATACTTCTAAAATATATATTTCTATCGATTCCATTATAAATATATATGTGAAAATATTTAATAAATATGAATATATATATATATATATATATATATATATATATATATATATATACATACACATGAGAATGCTTAAAATCTAATAATAGATTTTGATTATTTCGACTTGATTTCAAGCATGTTTAGATGTTTAAATCATCGTGAGAATGGCGGATTTGGTGACGTTATTTCCGGTTTGTTTAAAATTATTTAGAGCATTTTAAAGTTTTTTATTATAAAGCTTTACCAAAGTATATACCTAGTGATGTTATATAACCTAACAATGTAATAAAATAATATAACATATATTATCATTTTTATCATGTAAATGTAGTGTAACGAGTGCAGTATAGAATAATAAAAATGTAAGCTGTGTTATTGTTATATTTATAATTTTTTTTCATTACAGGTTCAAGAAACATATAGCCAAAACTACTGCGATCTTCCATAAGTTTGTATTGTCTTCACAGGTCATCCGATTCCCAGCAGTCTCCGAGGATACCGGCATCAAACGGCAGCAAGGTAATAATTAGTTGTAAACTAAACGCAATGTTTTATTGTTATTTCTAATATTAGCATCCTTACACATAAAACGTTTAATCGAGTGATAATCTGGTGGATCTTAACACATGAATCTTACGTATTGGGGGGAACAGCGTAACTCGAATTTAACTATTGACAAATAGACAAACATCCTGAAGACGTCCCTACCCAATCCATAAATGTTGATTTCCCCCAGATTAGAGAGATTTCACATTAAAATATTAATAACTAAATATTTGTAATGTCAATTATAAAGATCGAGAAAAAATATGTTATATACTTTTTGTCTTAAATATCCAAATCTCTCATAGCCTATAAACTCCAGCCCCTTCAAGTTTTAATCTTGTTACATTTATTCACTCATTTGTATATGGTTAACTTTTGGGATCTACCAATTTCATATACTTTTGTCTACTAACTTTCAATATGTAAACCATATATGGCTCATTAAGCCTGTTTGGAATTCATAATATAACCATATACTATGAAATAATGTAATTTATGCTATATAAATGCTATAGATAAATAAATTAATTATATTTTTAAATTTAATATATAAACTATTTATGATTAAGATAAGATTAAGTACGTAGTTGCTTAAGATTGGTAGGTAACGATTTCTAAGTGGGCAGTATGTGAGCCATGTAGCATGCTCATGTAACATACTTTTTTATCTACTTCAGTAACCTTCGCTCATAATTGCTGGTTTTTTATCACCAGTAATATTTAAATTTACTGTTAATATTTAACTAATTTTATTTATGATTCAAATTCTTTAAAAAAAAAAAAAAAATTGCACTAAAAGTATACTTAAATTTACTATTAAGCAAAATATTTATATAAAACTGCAGATTCGTTTAAGTAATTCTTTGTATTCATTATTCACTCTAATCCAAGTAATTTATTAAAAGCTTTGTTACGTTTTCTGTATTTGTTTAAAAACCTAAAGACTTCTTTCGGAATTCCGTGATATATCCTTAGTTGTGCCATTGCTATCTTAAATGTTTACCGTTTTTACCTATTTTACATTAAATGGACATTCCATCATCTGAATCTTTGTCTTAATTTAATTTTGCATCATTTAATTTAATTTCTAGTTTTGATATAAAATTAAGACAAATTTTTAATTCCTCCTGTCTATCATCTATAATCTATCTGTAGATTGTTTCTATCACAATCAAATTAATTTGGGCACATTACAATTCCTAATATTACTCGTTGATTGAAGTTTAGGACAATTATAATAGGCATATGCTTAAAATAATTGTAATGTATCATATTTATCCATTATGCATTACTATTAATTAAAATTAATGTTACTTAAGGACAAGAAATTTGGAAAATTTGTCTTTTAAGCTCCTCTAGACTGTATTTCAACGAAGTACCTACATGATATTAAAGAATATTCAATCTTACATCGATATGACGAGTTTAATCAAAATCTTCTCAGCCGTTTTCGAGAATATCATAAAAATGTGTAAAATCGATGATATAAAGTACCATTTAGTCGAGTACCATTAGACGTTAGTACCATTTCCAGTTAGCTGAGTACCATTAGTCGTTAGTCCAGTACCATTTCCAGTTAGTCGAGTACCATTAGTAGTTAGTCCAGTACCGTTTTCAGTTAGTCGATCACAATTAGTCATTTGTAGAGGAGTACCGTTTACACTTAGTCGAGGACCATTAGTCGTTAGTCGAGTACCATTAGTCGTTAGTTCAGTACCGTTTCCAGTAAGTCGATTTGACGGAAAAAGTTGCTTTAATATCCAAGAGGCATACTTATCTGAAATACGCACTTTTAGTATCTTTCGAATTTTCGCTTTTGATCTCGATTGCTCTCATACAGGCCATGTTTTTTGAGAGATTTGGTTGTTGTTGGAGAATTACCTTATGTGAATAATTATTGGTTTATGTGGTTTTAAATAAATATAATGAGTACTTTTTTTCATATCAAGTTTTAATTTACAATTTGTTTTAAAGACAAAATAAATAAGACATGTGTAGCTAAAAAGTATTTATGTTCCTTTTTTTACTATTAAAGAAATAATTAAATATAAGAGGTTCTCTCGTATGTTGTAGTCCTTAATGAAGCCGGGAAATAACTAATATTAGGTTTTTATGATAAGTCAGATAAGATAAAAGGAAGTTGATAATGCAAAACAAATGTTTCAACTACTATAGGCCTGTTCAGCTAATTTTGAATTAAATTAAAGCAAATATTTGATGATCTTGCTTGGAGGAACTTGGATGAAAAAGATTTTTCAAAATTTCTACGATATTTACATACTTGTTCAACTACCTCTGAAATAATTTGAGAATTACCTTTTATATTACTTGAAATGTCCATTTTGTATTATTAAGTTATTGAAACATGGATATAATATTATTAATCAAAACACTTTATGTACATGGTTTCTATATTATCCTTTCAATGAACAATACATGCTTTTAAGCTAGAGTAATTAAAATAAATGGAAAATATCAAAAGTTTATTTATGTTTAGTTCATGGACTTGAACAAAAAAGTATATTCCTTGCTTTCTGGAATTTTGACCAAAAATTAAATTTTAAAGTGTTTCTCCCTTAAAATGATTTAGTTTTGAAAGTTATAGTGATTGAAATGGCAAAAAAATAATATATATGCATATATATTATTTTTTTGAAATTTATATATATATATTTGTTCTTGCAACTTTGAAACTTGTGCTTAAAATTTGAAAAAAATAAAATAAATATTTTTGCAGACGCAAAGAAAAAAAAAAAGTAAATTTACTAGTATCGTGGTGTATAAATATACTCGTAAATGTAAATTTGTTTTTTGTTTTTCTTTGCGTTTGGGACAAATATTTATTTATTTTTTATTTCAAATTTCAACACACTTGTGCTTAAATCCTGTAGTGAACAATATAGAAGCAGTTTAAACGCTTAAAATTATTGAAATTATCAAATTTAATTTTTAAGATTTTATTATTTCCCTCTTCTCCTCTCCTCTCGCCCGCCCCTTACACTTCGGGATTCAAAACTGCTGAACTGAATAATAGGAAAACTCTTGGCACTATTTTTAATTTAACTGGAATACTTAAATCATAAAATGGAATTAGAAATATCGATATTTTTCTGCGGAATTCGTTTTTAATAATTCAAACTTTTTTATTCTGTTATTTAAAAATTAAGTATTCAGAAGAAATATATAATTAAAATATATGTTGATTGGAATAGTAATATTTAATTGAATAATGCGCTACCACCAATGTTTATTGGCATTTCTGTATGTTTTATTATTACTTCTGGATTAATTAAGTAATATTAAATATTATACTCTTGTTTTGATACATCCATTTATTACTTGAAACTGTGTTGATTCGTTAAAAAATTAAGGAATAAGTCCGAACTCTTTTAGTAATTGATGTGCATAGTTTTTTAGACCTTAATTTTGAACTCCCAACGTGTTATAAACTGTATAAAAATTATATTAAAATTCTTTCTTCCTCGTAAAGACATATTTTTCTTATTTTATAATTACTTGTAAATACTTTACTCACGATAAACAGCGTTTGATATTCCATATCAGAAGAGCTTGCGTTCTGCGAAGCACTCCCATTTTCGAGCTGTTGCGAACTGAATGAAAACAAAGCTAATGACGTTTGGCTCCTATATCGTCTTAATCATTTTGATATAACTGATTGCTGTATCAAGCCTATGTGTCTGCCGCATTATATAAAACGATAAAACTGTATAAATGGTTGGATGTTAGATAAAAAATAATCTCGTTTATTTATGGTCCTTCGGAAGTGCTTAACTTAACGTCCTTGATTGGTTATTAAGGATGATTAGTCAGTAAAATACGTATTATATTAATAATTACATTAAAACAATAAATCTGTTATTATATTTCGTTTATTTAGGGGTATTAGTTATTTTTGATCAAAGCACCGCTTTGACAAATTAAAAAATAAAAAGAACATAAAACCTAAATTATGAAATACGAAAATAGTAGTTAATATGTAATACAAACTGTATTAAATATGATATTAAATTTAGGAATACCAATTTGAATTGATTTCAGTTTCCAATCCACTGTCACTAAAATTGTTATTTCATATTTCTACGCCTTTGTTGGGAGTAATACATACATTTTGTATGAATCTTATAAGAAATTTGATCCTCTATAAGATTAGCTATGCATTTTTCAGTGAACACTAAATATTAGTTCTTAGGAGGAAACCACTGGCATATTTTTCAAGTTTTTTTTTTCACATTTTCGAATTTTTTAAGGACCCCGTTTCATAATAACTGTGTCTAAGTATCTCTTCAGAATTGTTCTATACGTTAGATATAGGACATGCAGAAAATCCAATGTTCTTTAACATAGCATCTTTTTACCTAAAATCTACTTGAAGCGAGTTATTGAGGGATAACTGGAAAAAAAGATTTTTTTTTTTCAAGATGGTAGATAACGTACTTGGAGTGAGAAGTCGAAAATTTATATTCTTCTCGGGGATGCCGAAAAATACAATGTGTCTTAAAATAAAAATTCTTTCACGTTTTGCAACCCAATTCGTTTTTTTTTTTTAACTAGCCTTTTTATTATCTTACATTCTAATTTTCAACTTGAAATTCTCGAGTATAGAGTAATTTAAGGACATTTAATGGATTAAGACAGCAAGTTAACTTGTTACTGAAAGGTTGCTTGTTACTAAAAGGTTACTTCACTTTAGATGTATGTTTGTGGAACAAAAAAAAAAGCTTGTTATATAAATGACACTTCAAGTGTAAAATGAGCTTTCTAACAGAAACTACGAAACCACTCATAATAAAACTTTTAGTGACTCTGCGTTTGCATGATTTACTAAATTTCGTATTTTTAAAATAATTTTTTTAATTTGTGCTTGTAATCAAAGAATCTTTCGCGGATCGTAGTTTGGAGACTTCTGGCATAAGGGCGAGGAACTACTTCATATTCCCATCAGTCAATATGAGTATTATTATTTTTAAAAATACGGATACCATCAAATAATTATCTTAACGAGATAAGCTGCGGGAAAGAACTTCGGGATTCGAGCGACAAGTAATCAAGTATATGTATTGTCAGTTTTTTGCAAAAAGGTCACTAAATACAATTTTTATGAAGCTAAACTTTTAAGTTTTAAGAAGGAGGCTTTTAACTCTGGCATTAATCCCCCGCCCTCATCTCTGCCCCGGGATAATCCCTATATAAACAAAAGGCAAGAAAGGAGAGGACAGGAAAAAAAAAATTATTTATATATTTTTCGACTATAATCACGCTCGCAAGATCCAAGTCCTTAGCGGTGTTCACTACAATCTCCTGAATTAAACCATTTGTTGAAATAATGAATGACAAAATCCTCTCTTTATCTTCTTTATACTGTTGCTTAAGTTCGTCACACTAATCCTGATATTTTAAAAAAAATAGTAATCTTTGCAATCCGTTAGAAAGAACAGTACTTATGAGCGACCGGGGCTCTATGGACTGCTATCTGCCAATGTTTATAACCTGAACACTGATAATTGTGATAAGGTACTGATAATCCCTCTCTGTCAATGTTTATAACCTTAAAACTGATAATTGTTATGAAGCACTGATAATCCCTATCTTCATATGAAATTAGACTCCCTCATAATAAGAAATATAAATATATCTGGTGTTGCCTCTTTTTTGCCTGTCTCTTATTAATATATATATTAATAAGAAATATAAATATAATAATAATATAGTAATTTAATAATAAGAAATATAAATAACAACAACACTTTAAATAACAAGATAACTGCAGATAGCAGCCCGTAGAGCCCACTAGCGGATCCAGGATTTAATTTTGGGGGGGGCTTCAGCCCGAAAGCGGTTTTTTTTTCATAAAAATAACGATAATTACTTTGGAAAAGATGAAAGAAACTAACTACCTGTATGAAATGGTGTTTAAGTGATTCCTAAAGCCCCTTTAAATGTAATTACACAAACAATAATAATTTAAGAGATACTTTTTAAATATTTTTTTTCGATAAAACATGGCTATATTTTACCATATTGGGGGGGGGGGGCTTCAGCCCGAAAGTCTCCCCCGTAGATCCGCCCGTGGTAGAGCCCGCGTCGCTCACAAGTACCAAAAGAACTTACCATCTTAAACCACAAAATTACCGGCTCTTAATTATCCGAGGATTTCATCTTGAAAATTGAAACTTTTTTTTTTTGTCCTTTTTTTTGGCTTTAAGATTTTAGACAATATCCAATTTTGCAAATTGGAACTTAAGTTAGGCTGAGTAAAAAACTAGTTTAAAAAGCGTGATTGGGTTGTAAAAAGTGGAGGAATTTACATTTACAGATATGTTATATTCATTGATGCCCAAAAAAATCCAAATTTTCGATGTTACGTGATTTACGCCATCTTAAAAAAAAAAACTAAGAAAAAGTTATAATATCTTTTCTTTTTTTTTTTGGCTTTAAGATTTTGGACAATATCGAATTTTGTAAATTGGAACTTTAGTTAGGCTGAGTTAAAAACTAGTTTAAAAAAGCGTGATTGGATTGTAAAAAGTGGAGGTATTTAAATTTTCAGATATGTTATATTCATTGATGCCCACTCAATAATAATAAATAATAAAAGGCTTAGCGAACCCGAAGGTTCGATGCCGACACCACCAATCGCTTATTACACACCTCCCTCCACCGTTCGCCGTCCAAACCCAGTCCCTTCAGATCGGCTTTAATGAAATCTTCCCACCTTCCCTTCGGTCTACCCTTCGGACGCTTACCATTCGGCACAGCAAATATTAACCTTTTAGGAATTCTCTCGTTACTAAGTCCAACAACTTTACAAGCCCATTTGATTCGCAGCGATGAAATTATCTCAATTATATTACTCGGATACAGTTCACGCAATTCGGCGTTGTGTAACCGTCTGAACTCTCCGGTTAACTCATCCTTCTTCGGTCCGAATATTCTACGCAATACTTTATTTTCAAAAACCTTAAGACGCTGCTCATCCCTTAATGTAAGCGGCCAAGTTTCGCACCCATAAAGAACTGTAGGCAAGATAATTGTTTTATAGATTCTAATTTTTAAGTTTCGGGACAAGAGGCGCGAACTAAGTAGTTTTGTCACAGAAAAATAACAAGCGTTTCCCGCCTTCAGTCTAACCTTAATCTCTTCTTCAATTTCGTTTTTTCTAGTTATCGTAGAACCTAGATACCTAAACTTATCTACCTGTTCAAACATATTACCATCTATATCGATATCACCTGTAGTATCGCCATTTTTGCAGCTAACCATATATTTTGTTTTATCCACGTTTATTTCGAGTCCTAGTTCTTTACCGGCTTTCATTAACGTTGTCGTATTTAGTTTTATAGTTTCAAGGTCTTCGCTTAACAGTACCAGATCATCAGCATAGCCCAGCACGGATGTTGTCCCGCCCAGATCCAACCCTTTCTCGGTAAGCACTACCTCCCTAATGGCATGTTCTAATGCCAAATTGAACAGGACAGGCGAAAGGGAATCCCCCCGTTTTAAACCCGAACGAACCTCAAATGTTTCGGACAGATTATTACCGATTCTAACTTTATTGAGTGTCTCCGTCAAGCACATCCTGACTAGATTTACTAATTTTTTAGGAATACCCTGCTCGATTAGAATGTTATACAGTTTCTGGCGGTCAATAGAATCGTAAGCCTTTTTAAAATCTATATACAGCTGGTGAACAATACCTTTGTAATCCAATTTTTTCTCTAATATTTGCCGTAAAGAAAATATTTGATCAATAGTCGAACGATTCCGTCTAAATCCGCATTGGTAGTCTCCGATAATTTCCTCGGCGTATTCCGTGATTCGACTGGTTAAGATTAAAGTGAATATTTTATAACATACCGGAAGGATGTTATAAATATTTTATGAAGGGAATATTTTATGCCCACTCAAAAAAATCCAAATTTTCGGTGTTACGTGATTTACGCCATCTTAAAAAAACATTAAGAAAAAGTTACAATTTCTTTTCTTTCTTTTTTTTGGGCTTTAAGTTTTTAGACAATATCCAATTTTGCAAATTGGAACTCAAGTTAGGCTGAGTAAAAAACTAGTTTAAAAAAGCGTGATTGGATTGTAAAAAATGGAGGTGTTTAAATTTTCAGATTTGTTATATCTATTGATCCCCACTTTAAAAATTCAAAATTTCGATCTTGCTTGATTTACACCATCTTAAAAAGACTAAGAAAAAGTAAGGATTTCTTTTTTTTTCAGTTTTACTTCAGTAGCTCTTCCTGTACAATGTAGAAAAAAAAAATGAAAATGGCTCTAGATGATGACCAAAATGATTGCACAAAAAGAGAAAGTGAAATAAAAAGAATTATTAGTGACCAATGGCCTGTAATTTTATTTGAATAATAAAAGAGATTACACTTATGGTTATTATGACTAGCAAATATATTTTATTTATATTTCATTTTCATCAAATTTATAATATTTATAATTTATAATTTTAATATACATAGTGTCTTGTGACTGATAGCTCATTTAAATTTTAAAAAAAGTCTAATAAACATGTTCATGCAAATGCTTCCTGACAAATATGTGATACATTTTTTATTACTCCCTGATTGCTTACATTTTGATCCTGTTATTATTTGAATTTTTTGAAGGTCTTAATTTGTTTACATTTTTGTTTAATGGCTTTATATTTACTGCTAGTTTATTATTGTTTATCTTGTGTCAATTTGGTCTTGTAAACTTGTTAAAATACTGCTGTCGACCAAAAACTATAATGCTATTAATTACATTTACATTTATTCTAATAGAAAATAAAGATTTTTAAATAAATCAAATTAAAGATAAATAAAGCGCAAGATAAGTTCTACAATCTTTTAACTATACCAGGCTATTTCTCTTTATATTATGATATATATATGTTTATACATATATGTTCTATTTTCTGGACTGTTAAATAATATATATTTTCTAAGGAACTTGAGGTTCAATCTATAAATATAAAATTTATGACATTCGAGACTTTATTATTAAAGTTTGTAGTATGGGATGTTATTGTTAACGTTTATTAAAAGTTGACTCGAATATGAGAGTAGTAAAGTTTCAAAACATCTCAAAAATTAATTAAGTTGTTCATCATAATTGTTCCTCTGACAAGTCCTCAGAAAAAAAATGTATATGTTCTTTATTTATTTTGAAATATTTTTACATAACTTTCATTAAAATTTTATATTTTTTTTAATGCTAAAATAATACAATATATTATAAATATCAATTGAGTTGGGTAGTTTCAAATCATTCTGTTTAACATAATGACAGTCCGTTAAAAACAAATATATATATTAAATAATTTCAGTATTTATTAAAATTGTTTATTATATGTACAAATCCAATTAAATAATTATAGTCGATTCCTAAGCATGGAAATTGAGGCATTAACGTAAAGTAACATGTGGAATATTGTTCAAGTTCTGAAGATTAACTAATGTACTTTTTTTTTTATAAAATTATGTGTTTTCATTTATTCTTTAATTCATTTTAATCGAGTTCCACGTTTGGACACTTGTTTTGTATATATTGCTATCAGTTTAAACAAGGAAATTTTTTTTTAGTTTAGTACACACTTATTTGTTATTTTTTTAATACATGCTATTTTATGTCTATGCCTCCATTATAAAATTATGAAAGGCAAATTGTTATTTCTTTAATTCTTCTTCAAGCATCTCTCTTAGGACATATTTCTTTATTTTTCCTGAGAGTGTAGTTGGATATTCCTTTACAAATCTGACATATTTTGGTATTTTAAAGTGAGATATCTGAAACAGAGCAAATTAAAATGGCATTACTACTTTACTATATTCCATCAAATAAATAAAGTTTATAATGACACTTTAATTGAATTAGGTTACTAAATAACCTAATTTAGGTTTACTAGTTCATTTACCTTTCCTTTACAATGTTCTTGTAAGCTTGATTCAGTCATAGTTGATGAATCACATAATTTTATAGCTACTGCAACTTCTTCGCCCAACCGATCATTAGATACACCAAATACCTTGAGTGAAAAAAAAATCTTTTTTAACTAGTTCCTTTTTATTACAGATTTAATTTTAAAGAGTTAAAAAAAAGATATATAATCATCTTATAAATAATAAATAAATATAATTTATAAATAATAATAAAATAAATATCTTATAAATAAATAATTATATCTGTAAACCTACTGTTGAAAAATTATGCATGTGTATGCGTGTACGTGTGCAAGTGCATGCATTGCGTGCGTGTGTGTGTTGTGTTGTGTGTGTGTGTGTGTGTGTGCGTGGGTGAGTGCATGTCTGGGTGTGTGGGTGAGTGTGTGCGTGGGTGAGTGCGTGTGTGGGTGAGTGTGTTTGTGCCTGCGCCAAGATATGTGTGATAAAGATTGCATCCTAAATATTTGAAAATATAATTTTAGTATTATTTGCTAATTTGATGGGACTGAATTTTAAATTTGAGCTTATAGATTATTTTAAGGATAGTAAAATTAATCTTACTTGAGCATCAATTATTTCTGGATGTTGCACTAAGAAATCCTCTATCTCTGCAGGAAATATGTTTTCTCCTCCTCTGATAATAACATCCTTAATTCTTCCTACAACACTACCATAGCCATCTTCCCTCAAGATCATTAGATCCCTTGAACAAAATATTTGAATATTATCATCTTGAAAAATATTTAATTATTGAAATTTTTAAATTAATCTCTATTCTATATGAGAATGAACCTTAAATGTATATATATTTTATCATATTTTAGAAGTGTTTCTATGGTTATGAAGTTAAAATTTAATTAGTTTTATTATTGAAATAGGAACAAGAGTGAAAATTAAAGAAAATGTGATCAAATTTAGTACAAAAGACTGATCTTCAATATAAATGAGCGATATGAATGAAAGCGAAATTGTCTGGAAATTATTTTAAATTCTATCAATGGACATTTTTGAACTATGATAATAAAAGAAACAATGAAAATTTTTAATTCTCAAAATATAAATATTTTTTAATATTTATATCAATTGACTTTATATAAATTGAAATATAAATTCTTTGACATTTAACAAAATGTGTTGTCTTGCTTTTTAAGCTTATAATTCTCTAAGAATATTTAAATAATATTCACTCTAGGATAATTTATTATTCCATCTTATCAACTTTAATTGCATTGAAATATGATTTGGTTATTTCAATGAATTTATGAGTTCTATTATTCCTGAATGATCTAACCGTCTTATCTTTTTAGGAAAGGAGTTTATTAAAGTATTTGTGGATGCAAGCTAGCAAAAATTAACTTTATTCATTATTATAATATATTAAGAATTTTTTTTTTTACATTTCATAATTATAGTGATAATTGAAGTGCTTCTAATAAATAATTGCTGAATCATAAATAACTTTACCCTGATCTAAGCCATCCGTCAATTGTTTTTGCTTCCTTTGTCTTTGTTTCATTGTCCCAATATCCTATGAAGTTAGCATAACTTCTAAACCATGCTTCCCCTGGCATTCCAAAATCTACCATCCTTCCTTCTCTGTCAACTATTTTTACCTGTTAATAGATCAATATAATTAATCTAATTTCGAAATAGTAGATTGACTTAATTATTCGTAATATTAACTATTAATTTCAATAGTAAAAAAGTAATTAAAATGTAATTATTACAGAGAATATATAAATGCCATATGGAACCATTCTTCAACGTCTTATTTAATCTTAAAGACTTGTACTTTTTGAAATATCTTGTGCTTTCTCATTTTTATTCTCAAATGCGAGGTCCATCTTTGTATAAAATTAGTCTTACTTAGGTTTAAAATAAAATATGTTCAGTTAGATTTAGTTTTTGGCTTTAATTTTGATATTATGGAAAAATCTGATGCAGTGTGCGCATCACACAACTTTCACTTACCACCCTTTTTTTTAGCAGAAGTAGGTCTTTTCAGAGAAAGGGAAATTAATGTAAAAATTACAGAAGTTTCAAAATATCATTTAAAACAATGAATTACCATCTATTTTTCACAACCGCATAATCTATTATATTTATGCTTTTTTTCCAATAACCATTACCTTTCATGACTAAATATTTTAATTATTTACTTGGATATAATAAATAATTAAGTGCCACAAATATTTTTTTAGACTCATTAAAAAGGCCACTATATTTACTTATATTTCATTATAGGTATTTTTATTTGTTTAATCATTGATTTTGAAAATTTTAATTTTTAGATTGTTGTTATCTGTACAATTAAATATTCAATAATGCCAATGCTTATAAATAATAATATAATAAATATAAATATCTTATAAATAAATAAATATATAATTAATTATAAATAATCAAGTCTGTAAATCTAGTGTTGCACAATTATGAATGTGTGTTATTATTGTAACATGTTATTTTCAGTGGAGGAGAAAATATATTTCCTGCAGAGATAGAGGATTTCTTAGTGCAACTTCCAGAAATAATTGATGCTCAAGATTAATTTTTTAACCTGTACCACTACAACCTATGAAAGGTCTTGGGTTCAGTACTATTTAGGGAAAGCACTGTTTATAGGTCAACGGTTGTACAAGGAGGTGATTTGACCTAGATCACGCTCAACCACCAGGTGTTTCTCCTTAATTAATTATTTAATTTAAGCATACGCTCACGTACTTGCACACCTACAAACACACATACATAATTTTTCAACAGTAGATTTACAGTTATAATTGGATATAATTATTTATAATTAATTATATATTAGATATTTATATTCATTTTATTATTATTTATTATTTATAAGCATTGGTATTATTGATATTATTGATCCCTAACCTTTTCGGAGCCTTTATTTTATTCAGTTCGTATTAGGTATGGAAGCTTTTTCTAACCTTTCGGCCAAGCTTGAATGTGCTTCGGATCTTTATTACGATCCCTTTTCCTAAAATTTTTCCTTTTTCTGCTTTATTTAATTATCAAATAGAAAAAAAAAATTGTTTCTTAAGCTTTTTTTATATTTAGTAATATTAAAATGTTATTTCGTTTGATATGTCTCTAATTCAGTCTTTGAGTTTTCCTCCTGAACATTTGAATATGTTCAACTAAAGCTTTGAAGTTAAAGTATCAAAGTGTATCTATGTTACAATGTTTTAAGTTGAATTAACCTCAGTCAAAAATCTATTATCATTAGGCAGGTTTAATTCTCATTCTCATTCATTATTCTTCCATTTTCTTTCTTCTTATTTGTTCAATATACGATTGTTCCCAATCATTTGAAGCTCTTAACATAAAACAATATTCAATTATAAATTATTTTATGTGATATAGCATTCTATTGTGTAACTAATCTGTTTCATGGACTTCAAAAAAATAGTTTTAATGGACTCCCTATTATTGGATTCAAGTCTGTTTCTAGTTTTGGGTAATTTTAAGCTTTTATAAGCAAACAAATAAAATGATTTTAGTAACTTACTTCCAAATTATCAGCGAGATATCCAACTGTGGTTGTCCTTTGTTCAAAGCTGTCTTCTAGTTTGTTAGCAAAACATATTGGACTTGCTTCAGTCATTCCATATATGAACTAAAACCAATAAAATGAAAGAAATAAAAAATTAACTTTCCCCATACATTAGCAGACGAGATTGATCTACATTAGCAGTTGAATGTTTCAGTTGGTGTTCTTAAAATGTGTTAATAAAATGTTAGTTTTGTGTACCAGATGTCTAGAGCAAAAGTAAATTTTACTTCCACATACTAGTACAATATTAACACTTACTGCATAGTAAATTTAAAATAAATCAAACATATGTTAAGGGATAAGTTGTCGATAAATTAATTAGTAAAAGTCTATTGCTAATTATTAAATTAATTACAATTTGAGTAATGGCAGTTCATATACTGAGCATTCATTAGCTATTTATGAATTCATAGATATAGACAAAACCACTCCATTGATCAAATAAAAATTACTCACTCAAACTCCAAAGAGGAAATAATTCACTCATCTAGCATAGAAGCATGATCATTTGCTCAATGGACTTAAGTACTGCAGCTAGGGTATAGGGGGGAGGGAACAGAGAGGATAGGAAGGGTGAGTTATTCTACATCTTGCCAATCTGTTATTGTTAGAGCGAGTAGATCTATTCTGATGTCCTTCAATTAGTGAAAAGAGCAGGGGCGGGGTGGCCAAGTACGCTAACGCATATGCATTGCACTGAGCAACTTGATAACTGAAGTTTAGGGGAAACAATATTTACGAATTCAAGCAGTCGGAAGGGGGAAGCCGGGGGAAGGGGGGATGGGGAAGCTTTTAACTCTGGCGTATCATATAATACTCTGACATCACCTCCTAGTCCAGGAAAATCTCTACATAGCCTAAAAGGCGTGGACATAAAAAAAAAAAAAAAAAAAAAAAAATAGTGAATAGATCATCAGAAAATCTGATCAGTCAATTAGCGAAAAGGGCAAATGAATGATCAGTGGTTTGGAGAAAAGAAGTTTAACAAAAATTTCTCTTTAAATCAGTTAAATTTAGTGTAATAAAAAAGGCAAAGTTGTAAATCACACTGGACCTCCGATTCGGACATTACCTGGATTTTGCATGATGGAAATGTTTTTGAAATGTCTTTTGCCAGTTGGGGAGGACACATCGATCCACCGCATACTACTATATCAATATTTGAACATGCTTCTGCCAGCTTTTGATTGCCTGGAAGTAGTGCTTTTACTTCATTGCAAATATCAATGTACATTGTTGAAGTTCCGTATAAGATGTTACACCTATAAAAAAATATTAATATGTTAGGTACTGTGTTTTATCATGAAATCTTTGACTTTGAGGTATAAAATTTTATTTTTAAAGGTTCCATTTGTTAATTCTGAATTGAATCACAAAAGTAAACTATTAATAATTTATTATAATACATATACCATTTGATTGAAATAATAAAATTTTAGTTATAAAAGTATAAATCAAGACCTCATAATACCCATATTCAAATTCTGTTGCGTTATATTAGGTTTTTTAAAAAAAAATAATTCTGGTTATTTTATATGAAAAATATATTAATTTTTTTTTTGTTAGCAAAGATGTTTTATATTACTTAGATTTTTGAAGTATTTCGATTGTATGCTCTTTTTTGAATATAGGTCCAGGTAAATACAGAGTTATACCAAAGTCAAGCCCACTCATGATTCCTAAGACAGATCCAAATATGTGAAAGAGAGGTACTTGGAGACATAATTTGTTCGATGGCTGTAAAAAAAAAAATTAAATGAGATATTGTCGTGCTTTACAAAAAGCATAAATCTAGTAAATAAATCAAAATGTGTGTTTTTTTACATTACTTATTACTATCATTATATGAGATAATGGTTAAGGGTGGAATCTGATTATTTTTCTCTTCTTTTTTTTAACATATATAAATCTTTATTATAAAATTCAAAGAGTCTAATTAGGTGAACTGATTTTGGACTTACCTTTTTATCGTAACCAAATCTCTTTCCAAGGTAGTGACAGTTGTTTATTGTTCCAAAGTGGGACAGTATAGCTCCTTTCGGTACACCTGTGGTTCCCTTCAAATAAATAAATCTTTTAACGTAATGTCATGGTTTAGAAAACAGCTAAAATTTTAGTAGTTATTAATAAATTGCTTTTTAAAAGTTATTTGTTATTTTCATTTCCAATTTTTCAAAAGATCATACTGAAATCCAAATGAGTTTCAAAACTAAAATATGATATTCATATAAATATCATAAAATAAGACTGTTATATCCTTTATTATTGCTGAATTAATGAAAAAAATAATTAATTTAGATATTAATTAGTATGATATCTAAGAATGTTCTAATATGAATGTATTAATGGATTCATCCATTGCTATAGGTTAAAATCAAATATAAAATTAAATTACAGAAGAGAACTGAATAAATGCTGGGTCACCAGGCTGAATTTGTTCCTCTATAATATAAAGTTTCTCTTTACTATTAGTTAAACTCATCACATCCTTTAATCTGTAGCACCCTCTGTAAAAAAAAAAAAAAAAATGTAATTAATTTGATGGAAAGTTTAAAATTTGCTTTTATCCATTATTTATTCTGTTAGTTTGAAAGTCCTTTCAAGAATGATATAGAATGGAGTTACTGATGAAGCTATTGGTCATTTCCTTCAAAGGCCATAATTATTGCTACTAAGGTAGGAAGATTATGTTATTCTGCAGGTTGATTAACCTGTTATAGCTTATGTTGGAAACTTAAGATCTATTGGTATGGCGCTTCCATGATTTTTCTCTTTTGAAAGTGAAGCTTGGTGCAGGAACCACTATGGTCTCCTATTTTATTTTAATTTTATGTGAAGAAATGTTTCTATAAATTATAACTAGATATGTGTATATAATAAATAAAAAAATCAGTTGACATTCCAAAAACTTACGGAAGCTTTTCTTCACTTGCCACAATGATAAATGAGAGCTCTGGTAGTTCTGGGATGTTTATAGGTTCACCATGTGGAGCTGATGAAATTCCAGGTGCAACCTCCGTCAAAAGTTTGGGATAGTCTTGTGTTTTAAATATTTGGTCAGTTATGATTGCTTTTGCCTTTACTTGTGTTAACACATAATGAAATTCTTTGGCCTTGTAAGCTGGATTCACCATTACCTGTTAAAATAATCCTAAATAAATTATTGCGATATTTAGAATAAATAAATATACACATAGAATACATTTGTTTGGTTTTCCTAATAGAATACTTAAAATTAATGTTGAGAATCAATAATTTATAATGGCTCGGCTGATTTTAGTGAGACTTGGTAAAATAAATTCCTTATAGACCTACTGATGGATAAAACAGCTTCTCTCTTTATAGAATTGAAGATCATCTGCAAGATCTGATAGCCAATATTTATAAAAAATGGTACATATGTTTATATAAGAGTTACTAACATACTCTTAAGGGTAAATAAACTCTTTTTTACTATGGGAAAGTAATTAACAACCTAAAATGACAGCCAAATTTTATGAATTTGACCTGAAGGTGGGTGAAGCAGAAATTATAATTTTTTTTTTTGTGTAAGTATTCTAGGTATGTTGTTTCCAAGATAATTTCTTGGGATTAGCAAATTGTAATTTCATCCAATATCATTCAAACACATATTTCTTTTTCCAATTTTCAAGATTATATCTTTTGTATTTAATGAAAAATATAATATATATTTCTTTAAAATCTGGTTTGGTAATGTTCTGAAAATTTAGGGCTAGTGTTTCTACATTCACCTGTTATTGGAATTAAGCCTTCATTTATTTTAATCAAGAGTTATTTAGGCATCATTTCAAGGATTTATTATGTAATTTATCCCAATTTAATATGTATGATGGTGTGAGGTTATTTTCTCGCTCTTTTTTATGTGGTCTACTTTATCTGTGAATTAGCTTTTATATCCTTACATTGATGTTGAAATGAGATTAGAAAAAAATGTGAAAATTTTTACTGAAATAAAAAAACATTTTGTAAATTTAAACCAACCAATATTATTCCAGTTTTAGCTGTAGCCATCATTGTAATGTACCAATGTATGGTGTTGACTCCGATGAGCGCTAGTCTGTCTCCTGGCCTCAGTCCGAGTTTCAGAAGGCAAGCAGCTAACTGCTCAGCCTGTTTTATAATTAAAAAACATTTTAATGAATTGAAAAAGAAATATTGCTATTATTTTATAAGTGTTTATTATAACTTAATAAATCTCTAATAATTATGTTATAATATTCTTTATTATACTAATCATTTATATAGCAACCAAGATTAATATGAATTTTAAAATAATGTCATAAAATAAAAATGGAAAATGTATTTTAGGTGGTAGAGTGGTGGCTTCCTACTCTGAATAAATCTGGTTTATATGGTGGCACACAGAATCTTCTCTTTAAAAATAACAAAGAGCGGTCTGACAAACGTTTTGGAGGAGGCTCTACCCTCAAATAAATGTACACCAGATATTAGCCGGGAGATAACTATGTTATAATACAGTATATAATGACAACATTGTCACCAAAGAATGCAGAAAGGCTGAGAATCAAGCATTTTTGCCAGTGCCCTGCTCCAAAGCCTTTTAAGGGATGTTGTGGTACCAATTTATTTATTTATTAATTTTATAGAAATGCATTGTAGCAATAATTTACTCAGTTATTGGTGTGTTACAAATTATACCTGTTGTTTTGCTTGCAGAAATGTGAGTGTTTTGTTTTCATGAGCTGAAATAATGGCCGTCTTATGCGGCCATTTCTCTGCTGCCCGATCCAGTAGCTGGCCTGTGGTGATAGCCTTGAGTGGTTCACTACTCGGATTATGAAAGTAAGCAGGACCTCTTTTTTTTTCATGGTTATTGCTAAAAAAAAAATGAAAGGTTCACAATGTTAAAATTTTATATGTACCTACTAAGCTTTCTCCTCCCCCTCTCTCACAATTAAGTATTAAAATTAAAATTAAAATTAAAGAATAAAATGATCAGAAACTGTATGGTTTTGTCTTTTAATTTCATCTTTATAAAAAAATATTATCAGTCTGAAATATCATAACTGAAAATATTTAAGTTATTACATAATAAATGATATAATATAATTCAGAATCATCAAATAATAATTTAAAAAAAATTATTATATAATGAACTCAATTATAACTTTTAAGTACATGCAGATATAATTACATAATTACAATAATTAATCACTAATGCAATAATGTAAAAATTAGCAGCTTATTTCAGGTTTTAAAAATATATTGCCTAACCTTTTTGTTATATCATTCATTTTAAAAACTGCCTTTGTATTTGGGGTTTTCTTGATATTGATATACAGTGAAGGCTAAGACTTCTGTTGTTGAACGAAATACTAACTAAAATGGAATGCTACAAAACAAAAAATATATTGTGGTAGAGTCACCATGGTCATAAGGACTAAATGTTATTCTTGTATATCTTATCATCTTACAAGTTGGGATAGGACTTATCTTTATAGAATAGGAATCATGCCATCTCTCCTGAAATGATGTTGATTTGTTATTTTAGGCTGGACTTATTTGTTATTTTACCTTCATTCTTATTTGTTACTTCTTGTTTGCAATGGAATATATTGTCATTGCTGGCATGCCTTTCTTCTAATCACCAAGATGATTTCTTTTGGTAATACACTAATTGCTTTACTGACCAATGTATCTGATAGTACATTTTATCCAATGTCAGATTGACAAAAAATGGAACTGAGCTCTCCAATTTTAAAAGTAAGTCAAGATTTCTTTTGTCTGGAGATTTTTATAGCTTTTACTATATTTCGCTTTGTGTGTCTGAATGTAATTTAAAAAATACTAATGTTTTAATAAAATTAGTAAAAATCATTGGACCAAACAGGTCTGTTCATCCTATCTTACTTAACTGAATTATTGAACTGAATAATTACGTAAAACATTTTAATATTAGATGAAAATCCTTTAATTTTCCAAAAGATTTTAAAGAATCTATACGTTATGATTAGACACTATCTCCATTACTTAACTAATAATCATCTTTTTTTTTTCTTCAACCATTTTCGATGATGGATTAGGCTGATAGAAATTACTTCCTCTGCTGAGTAACGCTTAATAGACTCCATTGATCAATTATAAAATTGATTGAAATCTGCCCTTATTCTTTAGCACGAAAACCAAAGTTAACCAGGATAAATGAAACTGAACATTGTTTTGTGTTGTGATTCAAATATGAAAACACTTTTAATTAATGTTTAGTCTACACTTCCTCTACTGCTTGTCGTTTCCAATGATGATTTATTTTAATTTGCTTAAAAGAAAAATATTTATTTAATTAAATATGTATAAATGTTTAAAAATGGTTCTACTAAAATTATCCTATTTGTGCCATTCTGAATTTAAAAAAAAAATGTTATTAATACTTTAAATTTTTAAAAAATATTCATTATTTTTAGGTTTCATTAAATAAATATAAAACCCAAAACATGTTCCAAAAAATTAATTCAGTTTTTACTTCAGGTATCGATATTCATAAAACTGAAATCTTGCAATTTCTGAGATTTTATCTTAAAAAATTAAAGAAAAGAAAAAAATGAATTCCTGATTTTTATCTACATGAACACTATGTAACACAAGTTACAACAATAATCTTCATGTGTTTAATCATTTTCTGTAATTGTAGACTGATTATTTTAATGAATTAGGATTTAAAATTAAATATTAATAGTAAAAAATTGAAATTGGATTGGAAAGTTAAATAAAATTAACTTATAAAGTAAGTTAAGTTTGAGGTAGGCGTTTTCGTTATTTACTCGCATTTGAAGTATACCATTTCAGATTTACTTATTGGCTTTTTAAGCCTCTTGAAGATTATTGAGAAGCGATTGAAATGAAGAAATATCTTTGCTAGAGTAAAGAAACAAGAAATCACAGTCAGATAGCTGCTATACTCTGTACCCATAATGGGTTATGGTACTGTTTGTCTATAATATTTTAAGTTCGTTTTATTTTAAATGTTTTTTTCTGTGACTATTGCTTGATTCATTTTGCTGTTAAATGTACCATATTATAAAATGATTATTATTAGAACCGAACTAAATTATTGTTTATTGATCGTTCTTCTCCCTTCTCCTCATTCCTACCGCTTGTTTTGATTATCCTGACTCGGTCGCGTGGTTGTCTCCTGTGATTGGTGGTCCTTCTTAGCCGACGATTTACCAGAGCCGGTACACGATGATTGCTGATATTAAGACAAGGGCAGATCGATGCAGAAGGTGAGGTGGGGGTAAGGCCGGCGGCTGTGAAGCCAGTTCGGGGGATGCAGCCGACATGAGCGCGAGGAAAAGTGCCGGCAAACCCGAGGAGAAGCCGCCCCCGGCTGGCAAGGAGGAGGAAAAGAAGGAGACAGGTACGGGGGTCTTCAGCGACCCCGGAGGGGTCTTCGCCACCTTGTAGATGCATAGTTCACAATTTTATTTTATTTATTGCTTAAAAAAAGATTCCGCAGCTGCACTTGTAAAGTACGACTTGAGTGCCTTATCTTCAAGCTTACGATATTTATGGGAGAGAGTGCAGTCAGCACTATGCTTCAATATAGTACCGTAAACAGGGATTACTTTGGGACTAAAGGGCGATTATGTACTCATGTTTATTTTGAAGTTGAAAGAACCTGGTAGGCTTGAACATTTTTGTATTCAGACAATTTTCCTTTAGTCTTGATGTAACAATGTTCCAGTCCGTGATTCCAAATCCAAAATAAACTGAAGTACATACATCATAGTCAACATCCCACCCACCATAGTCCCAAAGTAACTCCGTTTTACGATAATTTATTTCTTGGTTAATATCTGGTACACATACAAGAGTCGAGTAACAAAACAGATCTCCAATCTCCCAAAAATTTTTTTTTCTGTCCGGAACAAGTCCAGTTATACTATCAAGGATTCAAATCGTTCATAACTTCTAGGCTACTTCGCTCCTGAGTACGTGTTTTTGTGACAAACTGTCAAATAATATTATGAAATGATATGCATGGTAACAAAAGGACCACATGAAATGCTTTAACACTATGTGTTCTATACATACTGAACCATTGATTCGTTTTTTGATACGCTTATTATAGCTTTATTTATTCTGTAAAGCTAATTTTATATAAAAGAATTAAGATAGTAAAAATGAACAAGTTAATAGTAGTGAAAGGTATACAGCATGGGTATTACATCTCCTATTCCTTACTGCCTGTTGGATTCCCTATGACTCACTTTTCTTAGGTTTCGGATTCTTGAAAAGATTCTTGCTGTTAAACAATAGAATGATTTAACCATTAATGAGGAAATGACTGGAAGAGTCATATTCGATGGTAAGCATTAACACTTCTTAGGCCACTCGCTCCCAACAGATTCAACATTCTACGGTTCCAATAGATGTTGTGCTTAGTGACGTAAATAACAGCAATGTAACTCCTCCTGTGCTCTGTGAGTACTCCATCCCATGGGGTATAAAAGAAATTAAGAACTGGAATGAGCTAATTTAAAGGGAGGATTAGAGTTCTTTATTTGAATTCAAATCTCCCCTTTAAATTGTGGAAGAGGAAGAGGAGAAGGGGACGTTTCTAATTTCAACTGAGGAATAAGTTGAGTAATGCAAGGAATGCTCTAGTAATCCTGAGCATCAAGGAGAATGGCCTCAAGCATTTGACTTAAATTTAGTTACTGAATGCATTTTTTATAGATCTTCTCTTCTTCAGTTTGTATTTTGTGGTCTTGAACCTCATCATTGGATTCAAATCGAATTGTAGGATGAACTATAAGAGCCTCTTTTCCTTTCCCACTGAAGGCTTAAGATACTTACGAATCTCGTTGAGCCTTCCGTATCTATGCAATGTACTTCAAGGAAACATCTATACTTTTTCGACTCAGGCACTAGCGGATCCAGGATTTAATTTGGGAGGGGAAGGGGCTTGAACCCGAAAGCTTTTTTTTTTTGCATATATAACGATAATTACTTTAAAAAAGAAAGATACTAAGTACCTATATGCCTAAGTGTTTAAGTGATTCTTGAAGTCCTATTTAATGTAATTAAGCGAGCAATAATACTTTAACAGATTGTGTGTTTGAACATAAAACATGGTTACATTTTACCATTTTTGGGGGATTCAGCCCGAAAACCTCCCTCCCTCTGTAGATCCGCCTGTGCCTCCAGGAATTGAGCAATTTGATGCTTTATATCATTGTAACGGCGGGTGACAAGGAGCATGTTGTCCAACACATGAGGTGGGGTTTCTGTCTTCCGGCGGTATTTACTATTATATGTAAATAGTCGTGTTCAGATAGTAGATCAGGATTAAATGTAAATTGGAGTATTTGCTAAATTTATCTGAGCTCGTAAATATTCTTATATTTGTGTAAAATTATTATTGAGGTGCTAAAGTTGAAATTCGTGAGTATTTGTGTCATGATTTTAAAATAACAGAAAGTCGCATCAGTTATTCTACTCTTTTTCTCTTTGGTATATGTTGTTTTCGTTCTGATATTTCATCGTAAGGATCTTCAGAGAGATTCTGAGAGTTATTTTTTATTCTACGAGTTCCTGAAGAAGTCTCATGAAACGAGTGGATGACACATTTGAATACTGTAATAAGATCTTCAAAACAACTAAAGAAAATCATTTGGATTGCCTGATTTCTTCTATTATTCACTATTTAATGTACTCCAGTTTGTTAAAATTTCTTTTTACTGTTTTAAATTGCCCAGATTTTTATTATGGCTAAGAGTGGCTTTATAAACAAGTTATTCAATTATTAATACTGCTTTATTTCGAAGGAATATACTGGTTGCAACAACTGATAAATTAATTTTACAATAAATTGCTTTGTACAATAACAAGTAAATTTTGCATCCTCTAAATTGTGATGATGGCATAATTTATTATTCAGTATATGTTTAATTAAATTCAAGATAGTAGTAAATCAGTTTATTTAATTTTCTTCTTTATTGTAGAGTACGAATTTTTAAATTTTCAATAAGTGGTTCCATATTAATTGTTAAGGACGAATCGATTTAACCTTATATTAGAAAAATAAGCAATATTTTCCTTTTACATTTCAAATGAGATTTCCCAAACACAGAGAAACTAATTATTAAATAAATGGCGAATTTTTGAATATTCAAATGAAATACCTATTTCCTCATTTTTTTTTAGTCATTAATGTTGAATGGTGGTCATATTTTCAGAACGTTGTTACGTACAATTATCGATTTTTTATTATATTAAGAATAAAAATATAAATTTTATTGTTTGTATATTAAAAGATACTACTTAAACAAAATGTGATATCTATATAAATAAAATAAAGGTTTGTCTGTACATTGAATATAACCAACCTGTTCCATGATATCTTTTCGTTTCATATATTACAGACAATAAATCCACTTAAAAATTTTTTTTTGTCTGCCTGTATGTCCACATTGTCCAACGAAATTTTGTGAGGGGTAAGCTCAGTAATGGCTAATGGTAGACTTTTGAAATTTTGATATTATATTTAGGTTTGTTTGACTTAAAACATAGGCTTTAAATGAAAACAAAATATTGAGTAGAACCAAAGTTATAAATTCTCACAAAAGGGCTCAGGGAGCTGTGAAACGTATAGATCCGTCTAAAACCGCATGTCGGAAATTTGACCCGATTGCAATACTTTCCTTACCTAGTATAGGTAGGAAAGTAATAAAATAAGTTTAAAAAAATGTAAAAAATAGAATAAGCTGTATCATCGCTAATACTGGTTCGATTGCGATGATTTTTTTTTGTTTTGTTGGTAATTTAATTACCTATCAAAAGTTTTATTATAAATTTCGCCTATAATATATACTTAGGGAGTTAAGCCCCATAACATTTTTCCTTTCTTTATAACTTTTTTTTCGGTATTTTAGTCTATATACGAAAATTGAAAGGACAATGATTAGAACACCATAGAAAAGTTTCATCAAAATCGTTAGAGCCGTTTTCGCGCTACAGTCTATAGAAAAACATGTTTTTCATTTATTGCGCGCAAGCTATTGAGCATGGAGCAACGAATTTCTGTCACAGGCATAAGTTGTCAAAACCCTACAAAATAAAAAAAGAAGCAACAAAATCGGTTCAGTAGTTCCCGAGAAAATCTTGGCACAGACAGACACAGACACAGACAGACAGACCAATGGCTAAAAATGTGTTTTTCGGACTCAGGGGGCTGTGAAACGTATAGATCCGTCAAAGACCGCATGTCGGAAATTTGACCCGATTGCCAATACTTTCCTTACCAAGTATAGGTAGGAAAGTAAAAAAGATCCATAAATTTGGGCCCTCTCCCCCATAATACAAAATCTGTCTCAAAAATGAAATATTATCATATGTTGGAATTCAATTCATTAGTAATATATTTAATTTTCTGTTTTAATCGTCCTTCTACGGGCATGGACGTCATGATTTCAACAGGTAGATCAAGTCTCCATAGTTTAAAATCGAGTTACATGTATCGACGATTATAACAATTTAAAATAATGAATTATCTTGTAATTAATAATGAATAATAATTATATCGTCGGTTTATTCTAAAAATACATCATTAAGTGACATTCGTAACCTTAAATTACATGTTTAATATATAAAATGGCCTGTATCTTTTCAGCTTGTTTTCTGTTTATTTTTTTTTTAATCAATAAATAATAAGGTGAAAATTCACAAAAACTAAAAAAAAAGTCCAAAAATACCTATTCATATTCAAAGTAGGTTGAGATGTGAAAGTTATGTGTTGCGCACAACGCTTTAGATTTTTTTTAAAGACATGCGCGTGTTTTTTTTTTAATCATTATGCTTATTTAATAAATTATTTTAATTTTTCTCTGCTCAAACGTTCTTTTCTTATTTTTTTACAATCTAAACTTTTCTCCGCCTCTTCTAAACTGGCACTTATTGTGCCGAGCAAATGCTCAGTAAATCTGGGGTCGTTTCCAACTAAGGCTAAACAATTATTTTAAACATATGTATATGTAAATATGTATTAAATAGAAATGTTAAACCATGTGAACAAGCAGATCCAATGAATGTTTCACAGGGTTGATGTAAGATTTTATCTTGTAGATGTTGTTTCGTAGTTGTTCGTTCATTAATGATTATTCATTTTAATTTTCCTTGGGAGAGGCTCCGTTAACTTCAAGCTTTTTTTTTCTTGTTACGTGAATGATATTATGGGTCAATTAATTTCAGGCTTCTATTATAATAACATAAAGCCTTCACTTCTGCAACTGCCGCATTGTTGAATCAAAATAGAAATCTCGAGTCCTCAGTTGTCTTGTTCAACTAACTTTTCTTACCTAAATGTAAATGTAAACAGTGCGTGTCTTTCTAAAATTAGCTCAGTAATGGACCATCTGATAAGCCTGCACAACTCTGTATAGAACTTATAAATATGCATCAGACATTTA